CGGAGATAACGATTTCCCAACAAAATCACATCCATGTGGTGAGTTTGTGAGCTTTGCAAAACGGAAATTATTTCCAGAAAAACCAGTTGGCTTGACCAACTGTTGGGGACGATAGATCCCCAAACTCATATTTTGAATTTTATCGCATCGTTCAACTTATTGATTAAACGTTTAAATATTTGTATTGGAGTCAATTGATGAACTATCGATTAAATGCGCAAATAGGTCAATTAATGAACTCATTGATTAATGTTTAAAATTTCCTATGACAATATCGATTGTAAATAATTGTATAAATACGCTTGACTTGTATGCTTGATCTGATCTGCCTGCCTGACTTGTTATCTGCTGTTTGTCTGTAGAATACACTTTCTACACCTTACCCAGACTTCTTGATCGAGTTAGCAGAGTTGGGGACAACGGACCAGAATAGTCTATCGAGTCGCTGAATCATTGATCCTTCGTTCGTTCGAGTAAGACGCATCAGTAATCGCATTCAAGCAATAACGAAACATAACAATTGGCGACGGGGTAAAAAAAAAAGAACAATCCAAAGTCAGCCTTCAGCATCCAGATTTGTCATCAGTGTCCTTCAGCAACATTGGTCATTAATCAAACAGTAATTTGCATTACCGGTGCTGGATAAAAAAAAATGACTCTCCCTTCCGATCGAGTACAGCTGCTATTTGAAAGACAGTTGGAGTTTTTAGTCAAATTACGCACGCAGCTGTTAAATCACTCATGCTTTGGAGATGCAACGGAAGTGGATGGATTGATCTCTCAACTGCACACAGAGCTGGAAAATGATTGCAGCCCCAATGAACCCCCGATAAACCGTATTTCAAACGGTACAACAGTCACTCAAGATTCGCCCAGTGGTCCAGTCCTCTCCATTCCAGAAACATGCCCGGTAATGGACTCAAACTCCATTATCCCCAAAACAGCATGTGCAGACGGTGACTTATCCAGCTCACAAACACACTCCCTGGTAAATGATCATAGAATTGTCGCAATAACCACCCATGAAACAAAAAACAAATCGAGCAGTACACTGAATACAACTGCTTCAAATGGTTCTCATCAGTCTGCGACAGATGTTTTTGACAAATCTTATTATCAAGATTCTCTCTTACCAGAAAATATGTCAGATGCATCAAATGATGATCAAAAACTTAATACAATTTTGATAGATGCTAATTACCTTGATGATCGATTATCTACAAATAAGATTCCAAATAAATTTGGTCACAATATTTCAGAAGAATTAAACTTCGAACACCTCACATCAAGTGTTGTTCAGCCTCAAGACTTAGTCACTTTCAGTCAATTCTCTGTTCAGTGCGATAAATATGTCTTAAATAAATTCAAGTTAATTATAACGTGGGCATATGAGGATCCAACACTGTTTTGTGGAGGAGGATGGACCTGGAAAACTTAAAATCCGGATATCAACTCCGGATCTTCTAAAAAGGGGAGGAGTGTTGGGGACGATAGATCCCCAAACTCATATTTTGAATTTTATCGCATCGTTCAACTTATTGATTAAACGTTTAAATATTTGTATTGGAGTCAATTGATGAACTATCGATTAAATGCGCAAATAGGTCAATTAATGAACTCATTGATTAATGTTTAAAATTTCCTATGACAATATCGATTGTAAATAATTGTATAAATACGCTTGACTTGTATGCTTGATCTGATCTGCCTGCCTGACTTGTTATCTGCTGTTTGTCTGTAGAATACACTTTCTACACCTTACCCAGACTTCTTGATCGAGTTAGCAGAGTTGGGGACAACGGACCAGAATAGGCTATCGAGATTCTGAATCCTTGATCCGATCGATAAGTCACTGTCATATAATCGGCTGTCTCCTTGAGACATAACACCAACCTTAACATGGCTGAAACATCGTGCTAACAAATATAAGTAATTGATCTGAATGTGAGATGATCTTCAAATAATCATTCTGAGGGAAAAGAATATTTTGTTGAATAAAAATAACTGGTTAGTTTTATTAAAAAGTATTTAAGAATATCAGGAAAAAAATCATGAATATGATTAAATGATAAAAATCTTATTTAGACAAATACTAAAATCTAACTAATTCATTTATTGGAGACAGCAGTTATAGAAAATCTAGGCCTAAAACCGTTAATTTTATGTTTTAATATCATCACAGAACATTATTTAAATTAAATATTTTAGAGGAGCAGATATATGTAAACAGAGGAGAACTGAGTATGGTTTAAAAATGTTTAGAATATTTTCATAATGACACACACTGTACGGAGCTGAAACGTGAAGAACTACTATTACCATTATCAAAAACGTACAAGTATTTATAAACAGTTGTCTACGCAAGATACCCAATATCCGTTGGACGAATAACATCAGCAGCAGCCTACTGTGGGATAGAACAAATCAGCTTCCAACTGAGGAGGAAATTAGACAACCACATTGGGTGTGGATAGATCATACATTGAGGAAATCATCAGACTGCATCACGAGGCAAGCACTAACTTAGAATCCTGAAGGGAAAAAGAAAAGAGAAAGGCCAAAGAACAAAGGGCGTCGAGAATCGGAAGCAGGCATGAAAAGGATGAATAAAAAATGAAAAGAATTATCCAGAACAAAGTTGGATGGAGCGTGCTGATGGGCGGCCTATGCTCCTCCACGAGGAGTAATAGACGTAAGTAAATAAGTAAGTACATTAGAAAAGAATAGTGTTGTTTTAACAAAATATGAAATTCATCTAAGAAATACTTTCTTTATGAATATGTTATTACTGCACATAATGATTGTGATATATCTAAGAATTTTTTATGAACTTGAAGTCTACTCAAAAAAACAAAGCCTTTTCACTAATTTCCTTATTCTATATAATATTTTTAAGAACATCTGTATTTCAGTAATTTTAATATCTAAAATAAGGAAAGCCCCATTTTATCATACAAAATATTGTTTCAACAATGAACTTTAGAATTTAGAACATCTAGGATATCTTGTTCAATGAATAATAACCACTAAGGATCCAGTGTAAACCAGAAATTACTGAACGCTGGTATTGTCCTATCTTTGAGACTTCAAAATTGCATATCCATAATCCCATAGCAGTTAGAACACCGGACCTTCTGATTTAATAACATACACATCACGTCTTAGTTGCCGAAATCAGTCGTTCATATTTTCAACCTCCTTTACTTTGTGATAGAAAGCAATCACACGAGAATGGCAAACTCTAAATTAAGAAGTACTTTGTTGTAACTTATTAAATTATCTGGTTACTGGGGAAAGAGATATAAATATGACTTTACTTTAACCAATCAACATTTTAATTGTTGAGTCAAATGAGTCCTTCATAAAATGAAGACAGTGCTTGTTTCCATCAAGATCAAAAATTACTTTTTATCCACAAGATATTAAATAGAGTTATTCTCACTGTACAAGTGACTGGTCACTAAATAGTGTTCAATGCCATGTTTATCTAGTCCTCGACCGACTGGATTTGATCAGCAGTAAAAATGACTAAAGGGAATATATATTCAATCAACTAGTAATATCTCAGTCCTACAGGAGTTCAGTATAGGCCCAGGTAGCTCAGATTATGAAACTGGGTAACGCGGTCACCAATCAGCCATGGAGAAACACTTTCCTCAAAATTATAGGTACACCATGCTGACTAGTAATTCTAAGACTTTATGAAATAAAATTATAGAAAAAGTGGATTGTCACTGCTGAAAAATTCTAAAACATAATGGGATATGTGTCTGATACTTAGTTGTTTTTTTCTAAACTATCCTTGTGAATCAATTCAGACTTTCGAATATCAGCAGCACTCAATTCATTTAAATTACAATATAACCATTAATAATATAAAACTATATTTTATTAACAAAAATATTTGCTTAAATGTATTGTCCAAATTTCTGGTAGTTTAAAGACTGGTTTTCATAAGAAAATACATTGACTGGAGAACTGTTAAAATTCTTTCTCCGTCAGAGGATATACGCCGCTAAACGGTCCCAAAATAAAGCATAACATCTATTCAACGTTCTCTGAGATTCACTGATTCTTCAGTCTATGTTAATTAAAGAAAATTAGTATATTATATTCTTTAGGTTACAATCAATCTACCCCAATTGTCAATAAAAGTCAGTTAAGGATAGACAATTTCTAAAATAATCAGTAACAGATTTCGCTTCATCTATGCATTTTATTGGTTAACTATTCATCATAGAATAGAATGGAATGAAAATTATAATAAAACTGATAATCGTTTTTCAAAATAAATTGATTACAATCACCCCTTTTAATACAACTATTGGTTCATATGTATTTTGTTTTTCTAACAAAGTGGGTCTGACTACTTACATCTACCATGTAAATATCTACCTATCTATCTATCCATCTTTCTATCTAACAATCTATATTTGCCTGTTCAACTTAATTCATCTTCCTGCTAATTTTGTCACTTAGTAAACAACGTGAATTTAATACACAAGACAAAGATACATGTAACCTGATTCATCTAATCTCCCATCTTCTATCGTTTGTCTTACAATCTCTTCTATTCTTTCTCATCTAAGTCTCCGAAAATGCTCCCTGTTATTTCTAATGGTTATCTTAACATTTATCGTTCTGCCTGGTTAGATAGGTAGATAGATGATTTAAAAATTCTCTTAAAAAGCTAATATTGATGTTAAAATGTCATAAAACTAAATATACTTACCACTCACTTCTATAATAGAGGTGAAAACAAGTGTGGGAGAGAAAATGTAAACGGTTTGTGTAACCCCGTGGCAGCTCAACTGATAATATAACACAGATGTAAGAGAGATTTCAATCATGTCATATATATTGTCTCTTATCTTATACAAAGATCTATCAAAATAGTTCATTCACAATACATATTTTTTTTTAGAAAAATCATGTCTAAGCTATGAGTAACTATCGACAAACAACTTAATGCATAAATCATCAAAAATACCATTGTACTAATGAGTTCCTCAGTTATTAATGATAGTACTAGCAGTATTAATAAATTATTATATGATCATTCTTTAGAAACTTATACAATCCATTCTACTGATGATGTGATGATAAGTAAGTTTCTCTTTGCAACTTAAATTTCTGTTTACACCGATCAATATTATTGCATTATATTTATATGTATACTTTATTGTTAATATTACACATTTAAAAATGATCAAAATTTGAATTTCGTACCATTGGAATTTCTAAATAAATGGAGAATCTATAGGACTGTGCAAAACTTATTCAGTTCTGAAGGGTGCTAAACTTACGACTTTCATTATTATATGATAACGTTAAGAAAAAAATTGACGACCTCTCTGTACAAAGAAATTATGGTATTCAATTTGAGATTCATAATATTCAAATTAGCCATTAATTTCTAGCCTGGTGAATAAGTAGTGTATATTTGAATAGCATCATATAGAAGTGTGATAGTAGTTATGTATTACTTGATAAAGATCATATCTTCATAGTAAATGACAGCATAAATCCAAGTTAAGCAGCTTTTACGAATTAAACGTGAACTGACTATCAGAAAACACTGGTGTAAAACACTGTTTCATTCTACTTTTGTTGTGGGGAGGTATTAAGGTTGTTTACCCATTATAGTACACAGAATATAAGCCAGGAAATTGAAATGTCATAGCAAGTGAAATAACTTTTTATAGCTATGTTAAAATTCAGCGATTCATGCTTTTACTTTCGGTGAATTTGTGATATAAGCTGATCCTTACTGAGCCTCAATAAATTTCTGACTGACTTCAGTTTGTGATAGAAATTACCTACTAAGTATCTACAAATTCTCAACAAAGTCTCTTCAGTTAATTGTTATTTCAGTAAAAAAAAACTTCGTGATTATTCTTATGATCGCTATTATTATTATTATTATTATTATTATTATTATTATTATTATTATTATTATTATTAGTTCCACTTTCAATAGCGGTTGATCTTTTGGAAAATCTTCAGTAATTTTTGAAAATATTCAGAATCAAATTTTTTTAAAAATATTAATCTCTCATCAGTCATCAATTTACAAAACAGTTTTCTAGAGATATCTCCCTTTAAACCAATTTACCAAGGAAACGACCTTAACGGCATTTTTGTTGTTGGTTGGATCATTGTTACAGTAATCAGATATAATGATGAATTCCGATTTATTTCGATCATATTAAAAATATGCTTGGAATACATTGCTCTTCTACGAAGTCTCTGTGATGAATTAATTATCTTAGGTAACTATTACTCAATTAAATTATATCATGGCATTATTAGTCACTAATATAAATGAGAGAATTATACGAGGTATGAATAGGATTGATGATTTCGTTCACTGTGTTTCATCATTAAGAATATTATAGTATAGATTTCAGTCAGTCAATCATAGACAAAGCAAGACCTGATTTAAATAAGTATGGGTTTCATTTGTTACATATTAAATCAATACAGTACGAATAATAATAAGCAGGATAATAATCAGAAACGAAGAAATGATAACATCAACCGAAATGAGAAGTCAATAATAGAAATGCTCGCTCAGAAGAAATGGATAAAGTCCACGAATGAATATGAAATGACGTTAAGTTCAAGGTATAGGGGACAGTAAAAAGTGGATACAGTTTCACTACTGCAAACATAAGTTTAGACTATTACACAGACTTCAACTAGGAAATCTGTATCTCATCACATGACCCTGACAGACACTCAGTGACTGAAAACTACAAGCGTAGTTCGTCGTCTAGCAACTATTACTAACCCCTAAAGAATTCATCTAAATATTTATATGATAATTTAGAAATTACAGATTCTATATGATATTGCTATGAACAAGGAAGCAACTAATTGGATATATTCAAGACGTGAGTTATCCTCTGTGCGGCCGATTATTCTGAATCATTTGGCTTTTGAATTTCACTTACTTAAAGAAAGCTAATCTTTCAATACTGAATATATTTAAAGGTTAAGTTGATGATAGTTAATATCCAAAATAAGTTAAATTCATTTCTTCAGGCCGAATGACGTAATTTATTTTAATACTTAGTCAAATGACACATTCAAATCCTCGATTATTTTCTACTTTGTGAACTCGAAATATCAAAAACAATGTTCCAGTATTTCTAGAACTATTCAACCACATTCCTTTCAACATTACTATAACTTGAAGTTATTAACTATTTTTGCTTTTTATCGTTTTAATTACATTATATTTTTAGACACCAATTCGTCCATTGCTTTGTTTATTGTTACTATAGGAAGTAGAATTAACTTGTTCTATTATTGCCAAAGTAATTAGTGATAACCATGATAGTTAAATCTCGTTTATAGTTACATTGTCAACCTCATGTAAATTTAAAATTCAAAGTCAATCAGAAGGACAGTTTACTTGATGCCTTTCACAGAATCTCAGCTTCCACTATGAGGTGTTATTACTCATTCATATGAATAGCGTTCAGTTTCCAGAGAAAAAAATAGTCGATTTCCTCCAGTTAGGGGTTTTGTAGAGTAGTTACTTTTTATGAAGTAGGACTGATAACCCTTCTTTAAAGATCTCAGGATTAGTAGTAACTCTAGAAGGGTTCTAGGTGGAGTACAGTCGAGAAATATGTAGAATTATTCGAGCAATTACTTATGCTGTTGCTATATTTTTTGAGATCCTATTGATTGGTTGACATTAAGTAACCTATTGGTTAAAGCGAATAAAATTATACAAGTGTTTATGACTGATTTCAAAAATCTGAAAATTAAATGTCAATTATTAGTCACTTTTCATACACATAGTTCAATTGATTATTTCGGAACAAACAAAAACAAAGATTTCGGTAGAATGGCATAAATTGCATACATTTCGTTAGGTTATCATCAGTTGCTCGCATCTTATGATATTTTGTAATCAAAATTATTAATAAAGTTAACATACATATGCAAGCCAAGTTTGTGAGACGTGATTATTTATCATAACTATAGAATGGCAATTGAAATAATGTCTTAAGAAGACGGAAGAAAATGCTTCAAATATATACGGTATATAAGAGAAGATTGCAGAACTTCAAAATAATAATGAAAAGTCATAGAGCTAAAAATAACCTTTCAAAAAGTTTAAGGTCAAAGGGATTAGAGGCTTTCACTAGTGTTACTTCAAGGCATCACTTTGACACAGGAAATCAGGTTGATACATTGAAATCTTTCACTGTGATTAATGGGCAACCAAACTTTAGTCTTCTTGAATTTTTTGAAGCCATAACAACTGTCTGTAATCAGATTTAGATCTTCAAAAAGAAACAGTGGTAAATCTTTCCTTACGATGGTAATATTACCCTGGTTTTGTTACACTATATTTTACAACTCTTTCATTTACTTCAAATGCATCATTTTTAAATCTTTCAAATTCAGAATTTTATTTCTAAGTGATTGATCTCAACTCACGTTATTATTAATTATCATAAAACTATGTTCATCTACTTTATTACATAATCAACTAACTTTTTGACTTAATTATCTATGCTTACAATTTCAATCGCCATTCCATAGTGATGATAAATAATCACGTCTCATAAATTTGGCTTGTATATTTATGTTAACTTGATTAATAATTTTGATTACAAAACATCATAAGATGCGAGCAACTAATGATAACCTAACGAAATGTATGTAATTCATGTTAATCTACGTTATTCTTCATATAATGTACACTTGTTGTTCGATAGAAGCAAATTTTTGGTTATCTTTAAACTATATTGTTTGCATGTAATTATGAGAGCCATGTGTAGTAGAACTGACTATCTTTTGATTGATTATTTTAATCTTTCTAGATTTGGTTGGTGTTATTATATAACCTTCAAATTCAATAAATTAAATCGTTATTATAAATTAGAGGCTGTTGAATTTGAAATTTCACATCAAAGAGTGACTTTGGTTATAGCTTATAACATGACACCTTGATAGGAAAAAAAAACTATATAGGACTAGCATCTATCAGTTCATTAAGACTTTCTGGTTGAGATCCCACAGATGGTGCAACTTAGTGGCTTAATGTGTTACCAGACATGGTTCATAATAGAAACAAATGGTTATCCTACTTTAGTGTTCATTTAGGTTACTGTAAAAGGAAGAACTTCTTTAACTGAAAGAATTCCTTCTTGACTATGTTATTAAATTAACAGTACACTGTTGATTAGTCTCGTATTAAGACAAAACAACTGTCCAATGCTTTCAGGTTTTCAGTGGTGATGTAGCATAGATCAACTCATTAATTCAACTGTTATTAACTGAACTGTATGTTTTATCATAACTTGTTCTCATTCAGTCTTATAATGTAGATTGATAATGATCAAATACAATGAACTCTAATAATTTCAGCTTATTCAAAGAATTGTATTTTCTGTTTATCTTAACAGGAATAAATCCATATAGACTTCAACTCAACATCTATTAATTAGTATAATAGACAATAATTTATGTATTAAACTTTATCAAAAAGTCATAACTTTATTTGAGAAACCAACGAAAAAAGGAGTTTTCATTTTTTTTCTTCCCAAAAAATAATAAAAAAACTGAGGAAAGAACACAACCACAGCAATAATAACAAGTAAAAAAAACCTAATAGTTAAATGAAGTTGATATAGATTTTTATTACAAGTCCCTAAGAGTAATTTACATCTTATAAAGGAAGATGTTCTTTCATATATACTGAATAGTGTAACGCATAAATAAAGAGAAATTATTAAAATATATGTGTGTATTTGTTTGTTTTCTCCTCTCTCTCTCTCTCACTCTCTCTCTCTCTCTTGAATCAATGTTGATAGGTAAACTAAACTCTTATGATTGAAGAACATAAATTAACTTTTACATAGAACATCTGTTATCAAAATCACTAATAAATAAACGAAAGAGAAAAAAAGTCCTGTAAAACATGGTAATTTCATTGTTGGCAATTACTTTTATTATTGCCATTATTACCATTATTATTACTGTTATAACCATTATCACTATTATTATTATTATTATTATATCACAAGAGAATTAAGGGGGGGAAAGACAAATGTAAAAGAACCCTGAATATTATCATTAGTATCATCAAGATTATGATCATTATCCTTATCATTATCATTAAAATCAATAAATGATAATGACAAAATCATAAATATCGATTGATTCAATATTCCTAAGAGACTCATTATAAATAAATAATGAAATAAGCGAAGGGAAACAAATTTTTTTTATGATTTTAATATGTATACATTTATGTGAGCTTAAATTTTTAGGTTAAATAGTGAATGGATAATTGAATGATCATATTAAATATTTTCTTGTATCTAATTTCTTAGTTATCATCTTCTTCTCAGTTATATTCAACCTTCTTTCATTTATTTCTAACTTCTCCCATCAAGTTATCGAACAGAAAAAATTGTTTATCTGTTTGTTCTTGTGAATGTTTTATTGAAATAGTGACGCAACAGAATAAAAGAAAAGGTTATTTCGAATCCTTTGAAATATTAACTTCGATACCTGCTACCAAAAGTGTACATACATGTGTCAACATGACAACTGATATTACCGTTAAAATTTCTCATCAAATATCTTCTCTGCTTTGCATGATACCTAATTGTTAACATGCTAATAGAAAGTGTAAATAATTTTTAAAGCCCTTTTTTGGCGGTGAAATCTCAAGTTGTTCTTTCACATTATCTGTTTTAAAACTACAAAACGATAAGTGTTTTATTTTTAAGCTAAAGTTACAATCATGTTGTTATCTGTTTCTAATATTTCTTTTCCGAACAACTGTTAATTATTAAACTTAGTGACAAGTGTCAGGTAAATCATATTAATAAATGATACACACAAACTAACTACCACTAATTAGGTTTGGTTGATACTATGTTCTATAAGTTAAACGGAGAAGCTTTTGTTGTCATTCTAAACAACATCATTATTCCCTACTACCCGTGTGGAGAAAATCGGATCTTAGTAACCATTGATGCTTATCAATCAACCATCATAGTTTATTTAACTTAATTTTACTAATAATATACTGGAAAATCACATAATAATTCAACATAGTTCAATTCCATCACTTATGCCTTTAGCGTCTATGGGATACTCAAAAATGACTTCAAGTGATCTACAGATATGAAATCCCTACTACTGAGTTTATCATCCTTGCATTCTTAGATATTCTACGACATGGTAATGCTACATGAAACTACGTTCAAAAAGGTATTACAAACTAAAATTCAACTGGAGTAGAGTGAAACAAAATGCTTTTTAAATCATTACATTGAAAACTTTAAGCCACATTAGAAAGATCGAATTTGGCTACCCAGAAATCTTGTTCCAAGTGACTGGTTCTTAAAACGACACTAAATGAAGTTACAAATACGAAAAAGTCCATTGACTTACAGAAAAAATTTAATCCCACTGAAAGAATGATATTCAATTCTTCATTTATTTCATTGGTATCAACGTTATATAAATTCTTGTATGGATGCACACTACTGAGGAGTCCCATACTAAGACAAAACTACCGTCCAGTGCCTTCAAATTTTTCATGGTGACCTAGCTTTAATCGATTCATGAATTCAACTGTTAAATTACTACAATCTCCAAAAAACCATGTTTCTGATAATAAATTATTTTACTAATAGTTTTCTGATGGTAATAATTCATTTTACATCATGAAACGAATAAAAAGGTCCTGGAAGCACTGGACGGCCTTTCAGATACTAATCAACAAATGCTCAGTAGTGACTGGTTTCGAAAATATTTTCTGGAGTTCTAGTGAGAAGTAGTGATCAGAGGAGTTCAACCGGGTCTGTTGTGAAATAGTAACTCACTGAAGACAATGGTGGATGTGTCGCACAATTTTGTGGATTAGTTGACGTTAGACATTCACACCGTTGGATGCGACCATCTCAGTGGTCTAAAGGTTAAGCACTGGCGCGCAAGACTGAAGGGTCATGGGTTCGAATCTCGCGAGGCGGACTCGTGAATGCGCACTGCTGATGAGTCTCATACTAGGATAAAACAGCCATCCATTGCTTCCAGGTTTTTCATGGTGGTCTAACTTTAATTGACTCATGATCTCAACTATTAAAATAAATATTTTTTTGATAAAATTTACATGTTTCTATATACTTCAGTCATCTCTGATGAATGAAGTAGTTAAATATTAAAAAACAAACAGTTATTTCAGTCGAACACTGATCATTGTAAAAAAAGGATATTTATCTAAAACACATTGAATTTGACTATATTCGGACTGTTTTGGTGTTTGAAAAGATGAGTTTCCTATACTGGTCTCACTTACAGACGTTACGGAATTCGCGGAATATTCAATAGATAGTTTGAATTCTCCTAAACATTCTCTTAAGCAATTTTCTCTACCATATAAGACTGAATAAAACAATACTTAAAACTGATGTGTTTAATTTCCAAACATTTCTGATATGTGAAAAAAATACCATGTAAGGAAAACTGTTAAAATATAACTGCTCACATTAGATTTACCTGAAAGGAACTATGGTATTAAATCAATAAATCGTTAAATAATCAGTGGCAGTGTCCGCGTAAACGATAATGTAGATGGTAAGACAGCTATTACTAATGGAATTAAATGATGGTTACTCCAAATCAAGAATTAACTAAATTTGAAAATGCGAACCACTTGAATATAATTCATTTACTGGAAGCAATGTCCGAATAGCATTGGTTCACATTCTGTATGGGGTTGTTGAAATGAACTCTTGAAGAGTCCCGAACAAGAGTGAATTATCTATTCACGTCTTTATAATATTTAGCAAGACTTCAAATGAATTTATACTGGACGAAATTTTCGAATTTCTAACACCTTTTAATTGGCATTCTTTTAAATATGCTTACTGAATGTTTGTTTTTTTGTTTTTGTTTTGAAAATTTAATCATTTACTACATCAGATAATCAGCGAGTTAGTAAGCCAGATACTTGGATAAACAATGAATGGGAGAAATCATCAGTGTTATCAAATACCTTTGGTGATCTTAATAAACATCATAAATTATATTCAGAAAAGAAAGATGTTGGTGATAGTTTACTGCGAAGAGAAAATGAATTTACTATGATAAGTAAATTAGTTAACCATGAAAATGACGAAGACGTAGACGATGAAGAAGAAGAAGAAGATGATGATGATGATGAGGAGGAGGAGGAGGAGGAGGAAGATGGTGGGGAAGAAGATAGAGATGTGGAGAAAGATCAACAACGGCCATTTATTATAAATAATTCTAAAGTATCCAGCTTTGCAATGAACACTAATAACTCACGAATTCCAACTCCCTTAAGTAATAATGATCCTAATAATAAAATTCATATTCCTGATCACTTGTTTATCGGATCTACAGATAACAAACGTCATTATGGGTTGTTTAGTAAAGAAACTAATAACATTAACTCTAGTTCATTATCAATGTCATTATCATCACCATCATCATTAATTCCACCTATGATGAATTGTTGTAAACAAGAAGAAAAAAGTGTCGTGTGTGAATCAGAAGAGAAAAATGAAGAGGAGATACAAAATTCAATAAACACAACAAATATGTAAGTAAATTACAATTTATTAATCAAGGTGAACAATGATATCCAGACTGTCAGATTTACTCACAATAGAGGAGGGTATTATGGAGATTGTTGAATTTTTACAATTTGCATCATGGATGGACTTTATTTAGACAACAGGTGAAAACAAAGTTGTACTGGATAGTTGTTTTATCATAGTATGAGACTCTTTAACAGTGTTCAACAACACAAAACAGCCTTTCACCACTGCCTGTTTTTCATTGATTTTCAATGATGTAAACTACAAAATTTCTCATTATTGACTCAATCATAACTCCTAATCAATAATCACATTTAGTTGACATCAGTTTATTATGTTAGTATTTTTTTATTACTCCAACTGTTCAACAAATTTTTGCTCTAATGTCAACAAAGGCTAACGTAGCAAATAGGAATTGATTATTGATCAGATTATGTAAACACAGTTTTAAATGACAGATTCACCCAGAGAATTCTTTTTGTATCAAATCGGTTAGACACAAAGTGAAGTGAGGGGCCATGGCTTCAAATATAGTAATAGTGAATTCGTTTTATAAATAGTGTATAGACGTTTTACGTATCGAAATAAATAAATATGTATGTCCTGCGTGCAGGATCGCGGATGCGCACCGTTGAGGAGTCGCATACTAGAACAAAACGGCTGTCCAGTGCTTCCAGGTTTTCAGTAGTGGTTTTGCTTAGATTAACTCGTAAATTCAACTGTCAAAATACATATGTGTACAATAACCAGTTGTTTACTAATTCAATTATTGTGTATTGAAATCTATACGATGAGAGCGAATAAACTTAGTTTAGTTTTTCAATAAATTTTGACTCTTTAATGAAAAAGATATGATTACTTACTATTGAATATTTAAATTTCTATCATCCAATTAACTATGATGCAATGTAATCCTATTCATAAGTTATAATAATTATTACCGTAGTCATTGATTTTGAGACTACCTAAACTGCTTAATTTAAACTATCAAACGAATACTAACTAATATTCGTCTGAAGGGGTTTGTGGAGATTTCAGAAATTTCACAGACTGAAATCATAAGTCAATTGAAGCTAGACCACCATGGAAAACCTGGAAGCACTGGACGTTCGTTTCGTCCCAGTTTGGGACTCCTCAGCAATCTGTGAATTTTCTAAAATCTCCACAAACCCCTTCTGATAATAATCATCTGCTCACTAGTGACTGACTTCATGAGATACTCCTGGAGTTCTAGTGAGGAGCCGATACCAGTGGAGTTCAACCAGGTCTGTTGTGAGATATCAACTCATTGAAGACAATGGTGTACGGTGGCGCAACTTCGTGGATTGGTTAAAGTTAGACATTAACACCGTTGGATGCCGGCTAGCTCAGTGGTCTAGTTGGTTAAGCGCCTGGCGCGAGATTGAAAGATCCTAGGTTCGGATATCACGGGGTGCGGGGTCGTATATGCGCACTGCTGAGGAGTCCCGTGCCAGTACGAAACGGCCGTCCAGTGCTTCCAGGTTTTCCATGATGGTCTAGCTTCAATTGACTTGTGATTTCAATCTGTAATATTCATGTATTGATTAGGTGAATATTTTCTAACTACAAGGTAATAAGATTAATCATTAAAAGTAAAATTGATGATATATTATATAAACGAATTATAAATACGATTTGAAAAATAAACATTGAGGATTCTAGAAGGGTTCGAGCCAACTTTTTAGCAATCTATCTTTTAAGTTATGTAATACCCTACATTGTTTAGTTTCTTTTAAGAAAAATCAGGGAAATAAATAACGTCACTAGTAGAAACTACATAATGAATATCATATAAAGGTAACATAAAATCGCTTATTGGCTATTTCTGGCTTCATAAAGGATCAATAGGCAAACTCATTTTCCATTAAAGGGTTCAGTTTTCGTAATGAAATTAAATCAGTATTAAGATGAAAATACAAGTTATAAACCTTGAAAATATCACGATCTTTGTAAAGGTCCTAAACTTATTTGTGCTTCACTACTTTTTCAGTGAAACATTCTTGATTTACACTAACTGTTTGTTTCTTAATTGATAAGTGCCATGAAAATCTCACCATCCTTTTTGTAGTTGCTCAAGGCTGACAGTACAGTGTAACTGTACCTAAAAATGTTATACTTTCGTTGATCTACAATGCCAATAAATATTCTAGGTTAGTCTCATTTCATCCTGTCTTCTGTTTCTTTGGGTTTTTTTTCCAACTTATAGACCATCATCCCTTTTTCAGTCTACTGTTGATTCATCATGGAATAAATCAATGACAAATTTTGGATCTTGGTTAGGTGAACAAATATCTCCTTCACTTTATCAACAATATCATAATGACATTAGTATGATTACTTATAATAAAAATCATCAAAATAGTCATGAACAACAAAATTCCCATCTTTCATATTATCACCATAATCATAAAGAATCTATTGAACAATTATTCACAAATTTTAAATGTACACCAGAGTCACAATTACACAATGATCATGATTCAATAAGAATTTCATCTGAAATACCATTAAATTCATTCCGTCAATTGACTAATGATTTGTTACCTAACTCAATTGAATTAGAAAGTAAACAACATCCATTTATTTCTAGTATACATTATCAAAATAATCATTCTAATATTAGTGATGATAATCTTATGAATATTTACTGTATGAACAATTTATATTCTTCAACATATACAGATTTTATGTCAACACACAATAATAATAATAATAATAATAATAATAATGGTAGTCATAATAATAAAGATCAAACCAACTATCCAGATACATTTCAAATCTTCAATTCATTCGATTCTTCATTAACTAATAGAAATGTTAAGAATTTCGATTTGATAAATGATGTTTTTACTAAGAATTTAATTGACACAACAACAACAACAAATAATGATAATAAAATGGATCTATTATTTACAACAAATTCCATATCACATTGTTCATTATCAACTACAATAACAATGGCTATAGGAAATACAATACCATCAATAATGTCAACAACTAAAACAACAAATTCTATTAAACAAGATATTCCTGATTTGACAGCTGCAGCAGCGGCTGCTGTCGCTTATCATGGTTTAGATCCAGCTACAACTGTTCAAATGTTAAGAATGTCTTCATTAGCTAATAAATTAAGAAATAAAACAAAAATTTTAACAGGTAAATTAACTAATTTTAAAATTAAGAAAGTTATTCATAAATTATAATAATGAATGAGAACAAAATGTCGATAGGACAATATGAAAATGGAGTTGATCTGAAAAAACAAAACAAAATGATCAGATCAAAATTAAATGTCACGTTTTATCGTTAACAAAATTATTGATTGTTTGTATTGGTTAAGGGAATATAAAAAATATAATGAAGTAATTAATGTGAATGAAGTTGAGAATGTAGATAAACTTTTTTATTGAGATAGTCTAATTCGGTGAGACTATAAGTTATAAACGAACCAATCATGTATAAGATAAAAGGTCTCAGATTTTGGCGCGAAATTCACTCATCCGTTTGGATAAAGTTTTGCCATTATAGCTGATGTCATCTCGTGGTGAAAACCCTAAATCTAATTCCTAAGCTTAATCATCAACTGTAAATTATAATTTTAATTCCTCACACAGGTTCATGACCTTCACTTGGTCCTGGTTACTAAGTGAACATTGTCAGTCTAGCACCGCTCAAAGGTCGTCTCACCTTTAATTCCTCGTGGTTTTATGGTTATAAATTTTTAAGTAGACAGAACTAGTTAATCAATATCCACCGGTTTTCAACTGTTCTATATCTAATGTCAGTTTAAGATGAAAATCACGTTAAATTCTAATTTCATACTTTATCTATTATTGGTAATATAATCATTCTTATGTTTTAATTGAAAGTATATTAGAAAGAATAAGGATTGTTTACCATATAAAATAAAATTGATACATTCAAGTTAGTCAATAAATGTTAATACATATAGATTATTCTTAGCTAAAATCTGATGACCAAGAAATGTCCATTCCATTCAATCAATGAAACAACCTAACGCCAAAGTGTACTACATTTGATGTTATATTCTATGAGAAAGATGTTAACAACCATTATGACAATTTTTACTATTTACTAATACTTGTTAACGGTGATTAATTTTAAAATTTAAAAGCTCTTGAACCAGTGTCATTTAGTTAACCAATTAAGTATATTATTATCAACTTATTCGGATTGTGAAAAACAAATGATTGAACTCGTCTATACATTCAACAATAATTGCAATAAACCATAGTTCTTCTCATTTACCATTTGAATAGCTTTTTCACTTAGCAGGGTTTCCTAAACACTGAATAATACAGTAAATCTAGTAACTGACTAGAATGGCGAAGAAGTTTTGTAAGCTTCGGTACTAAAGAAAAAAGTTCTAATTATTTAAACTGATATATAGATTGATAATTGAGTGGTTTGTCTAACCTCTAATTCTAGCCGAATTCTATCGAGCAAATTATAATGCTCGAATACCACGTTGAGCATCGATTTAATCGAGATTGTAAGTAGGTCCTGTTGGTGAGTTCCAACTAGCAAGAAACCTAGGTTCATGGTTTCCTGTTTGTCGATTAATTCTAACCACCTAACATAATGAGAACAAAGTTTATAAACTGATCTATGAAGGTAGTTTCCATCATATATTCTCTTACCAGTTGAAACAATCATGGGAATCTAGAGAGCGTCTAATGGTTACTTCGCTCTAGTGGTGGGATTATCAACGGTTAACTTATCGTATTGGGCATATTTTTACGTGGTCGTTTAGGGAATTACTGGTAACCAGTACTTAGGAGCTTCAAATATTGAGGAAATACTACTACTTCTTAGTTTTCAGAGATTTTTTGACTGATTTTTGTCGACCAAGAACACTATCTTTATATTGAACAGATCTCAAAAAAATTGAAGGAACTAATGAGTATTTTTTTAAACAGAATATTCAGTAAATAACATTCGTCTCACAAGATAATAAGTAAACAATGATCTAATAGATCGTCATAATTTATTTTTGAAAATTCCCGCATTATTGACAGTTTAAATGCTATCATAAGTGAAATGTGCCTAAAAACGATTTTTTTTGGTTACAATTATCTAAATCCAGATTTGATCCTAATCCACTATTGTAATCTGAGACAGATTGTGCAGAACACATTCTTGTATTTTGATCTTATCCAGGAACATATGAATATAATAATGTGTCTTTTGGTCAATCGGTGTTTTGTTATCATTATTATTGCCACAATTATTCTAAACTTATACATTGTAGAGATTAAGTAATTTGATATATTTGAAATTTCGGTAGCTGAGATCATGAGCCAATTGAAGCTAGACCAGCATGGAAAACCTGGAAGCACTGGACGGCTGTTTCGTCCTAATACGGGACTCCTCAGCAGTGCACATCCACGATCTCGCCCCCCGCGAGATTCGAACCCAGGACCTATCTGTCTCGCGCGCGAGCACCTAACCATTAGACCACTGAGCCGGCATGGAACGGTGTTAATGTCTAACTTCAACCAATTCACGAGATCGTGGGTGCGCACTGCTGAGGAGTCCCATACTGGGACGAAACGGCCGTCCAGTGCTTCTAGGTCTTCCATGGTGGTCTACCTCCAATTGACTCATGATTTCAACTATTGAAATTACTAAAATCTCCACAAAACCTCTTCTGATATTTGATATTTCTTAGATAAATTTCCCATATTAAAATTTCTTTACTTTATATTCCAGTTACTTAGTCTTTTTAACAATAACCCCGTTAAGCTAGTCAAGTTTTAGTAAATGTTATGAATCCTATAAACCGATTAAAAATAACTATACAAATACACTTTAGACGGTAAAATCAATAGTTTCTTCATTAATACTTAAACAATTCACTTTTGTCACTGTATATAGTTCAGTATTCTGAGGTTGTATTCTATTTATCCGAAGTTAGTATCAAAGTTTGTAGATTGAAAGTAGACTGTCTAATCATATTTGTTCCGTGTATATTAATTTACCACCTCATCATACATTAACATAAATGTTATTTTTAATTCCTTTGTAATCAACAAATTAATAAAATGATATGATTCTAATGATTTATTTTAATCAGTAAATCCACATTGCATACTTGACTGTTTAATCGATCTTGTGTTAATTGGGGTTATATATTACAACATTTAGTTAAATCGGTTAGCTATAGCACTTTTTTAACAACACTCTTCATCATTAGAAAGAGAATATGCCGAAAACACCAAAAAATGTCTGTATTCACAGCCCAGATATTGAGTGAATGTGAAAATAAGACTTATAGAATTATTTACCATATTATCCTCAGCATGAAAGTTCGTTATTTACACATAACCGAAATTAATGGGATTCACTTGAACAAACCAAAGCCAGATGTTCAGAGTATGTTCCTAGAACCACTTTTCTCATTCCAGTCATTCGTAATTAACATACAAATAGATCTTGTTCAATATCTTGTAAAATCAGGTGAATTTTAGAACATCATTTTTCTAGTTCAGATAACTGGCGTAAATCTTCGAAACTAGTTGCAACATTGTAAACCACGACAATAGTCAGGAGAAATGTATGTTTATTGCGAAAAGTTACAAAGTATTTACACAATACATATACATAACCTTCAATAGTCCATTAGTATCTTGCAGTGTTTTCTGCCATCTGAACTGTCTTCCCATCTGATCTCTAAGTGTTCTGACAATGCCATGCTTTCAGTGCATTGGAAGTTTTCACAATTGGCACAAATTCGACACCACGTCAGCCACACAATACTTACAAACATCCTTGTCAGTAGCGTCAATTACAATATGACAAAATGTGGTTCGCTAAATAATCCATTTTCATCAGTTAGAAAACTCTTGAAAATGTAATTTTCAAATAAATTCTCCCTGCGAGTAAGAAAGAACACATCAATACACAATCGATGAACCGAGTATCAAAGAAAATAGAGGAAAGTTAAGTAAGCGGTATATTCAACATGCGGGTCAATACAATTCTGATTATGTCTAATATATCAACTCATTTGTTATACCATTATAAATGTTTGATGCTGTAACTAAAACGTTGCTATTTTGTAACTTTTTCAGTATTTGTCTTGACATTTACTTTGAAAGCTTATTTTCTCTGAGGATTATGAGTTGAAAATCTCAAACTTTTCATATTTAAACGCCTGAATTAATTGTTTTGCGGTTGTGCGATAGTTTAGATGGCTTTGACAGTGTTATTTAACTTATCTACTTTAAACAGTGCCGTGTTATATGTGCTTGACTGGAAAACAAACCAAATTATCAATGCTCACAGTTATCATCATCATAACTAATCAGTTAAGTGGTAATTAGGTCACCTAAAAATCCACAAACTTGACAATTTGAACTACATTGCTTTAATCTCACTTAACATTTATTTAATACTTTAAATGCAAGTACTGGTTGTTCGAGTGTTTGATTACATCATATACCATAAACTGTCCCTCTTATGCTATTTAAACCAGTAAAAGAAACAATAGTTTTGCTGAAAAACATGTACATTCAAAGATCTTATATTATTTCATAACCGGTTTATTTTTATGTGGCTAACGCTAAAATTTTACTCTGAGCTAATAATTCAACTCACAATTTTCTATAGATGGTCGAGAATGTGTTAACTGTGGAGCTACTCAAACACCATTATGGCGTAGAGATGAAGCTGGACATTATTTATGCAATGCATGTGGATTATATCATAAAATGAATGGAACGAATCGACCGCTGATAAAACCAAAACGTCGTATGGTAATTCACATTATGTTAAACATTTCCATCTTATTTACAATTTTTAATCATAGTATATAGTTAATAAATACTTCAAGGTAATGGAAAATGAAGTAATCATACAGCTTTAGTTATCTGCTTGCTAGTAAAATGTCTATGAAATCTATGTACACTACTCTATGTAGATAAAAACTAAAGATTCTAAGAAAAATTACTCTAAATGCACACATAACTGTTTAGCGGACGAACTAAACAATTCTTCATCTACAATTTTAAAAACTCAAATTAGCATTTAAATCATTTTATTTATAATCGTTCATTTTGATATTAGTAGTAGTTTTCTTTTCAAAGTAAAGAAAACACACATTTCATTCCAATTTGAAGAAGTTCCAGACTTGTACATTATACTACTTATTGTTAAGTGAGGAATTCATAACAGAAATGATCAAATATCAATTTATAACTAGTTAACAAACAGAAATAACTGGTCATCCTCAGAAATATCAAACTAAATCTCTTTTGTTATAAATGAAAGCATTTATAAATAAATTGCTAATTTGATATTTTACCCTTAGAAAATTTTATCCTATCCAAATATAAGCTCTCATTTAAGGATAGTTCAATCTATCTCTATATATATTACTAACCTTTCTATATTCAAAATCCTCTCTCGTCAGGGTCTAAACCTTACTATGTTTCTGCTTTATGATTAAAAGAAATATCATTGAAATCTTATTAGCTTGGTAAATCTGTTACCAGTTTATTAGTATGTGACTTTGTTAACGACCTGAATTTTGTGTGAAGTTTTAAAATGATTCGGTGTATTTTATAACAATCAACCATTTGTGTCTTTTTCATCGCAAAAGTGTTGAAAGATTTCAACGTTACACAAATGGCCGACAAATGTACAGTTAACCTAATATTTTTTAAAGTTCGATCGAAACCACAAAAATTCGCTAAATTAAATGAAACTTCCTCTATTATATATGTAAGTTGAAACAACATGACTAAAGCCAGATATGGCATTTTTCGCTAGTTGTTGATATTTAATAGTAGCTCATATCAAGGACTACTACATAAGTTCCGGTATATTAGGAACTCGTAGATCTAGTATATATGAAACTAAGATAATAACCTCGTTTGAAGTTAGTTTTTAACAAGAAATGGAACCAATTATAAAGTACATTGGAAAACGATGAGGAATTTCATGGTTGGTTCACCTTAGCTTTTAACACTGATGTAATTTGATTTAGGATCATCAAATTATATGACACTCAACGACTAAATTAGTATACAATCATCCATCATTTTCAAATTACTCGACAAGTGAAATGTCATCAATCTTAATCCTATACTAACGATGGGTAACTATTTGGCTTCTGACCTAGTTGACTTCATGTATATATATATATATATATATATATATATATTCGTAATTTTTTAGATAATTTCAGTTACAATAACATATATTGACAAATTTAAACCCTATCAGTCTAAAAGAATAACCATTTTTAAAGTAAGATCATCGGTTAAATGAATTTCTGAAAGGATTTTAAGAAAAACTAAAGGATATAGATTTGATGATGTATTTATATTTTATCAATTTAAATACCGACATAAAAAAACAGATTTCCATAGTCTATCCAAGTTTCCACATGATGAAAATTGTGAAATTAAAGCAACAACCTCTAGTTTTTATTTTGATCCAACTTGACTAATGATTCATATACAAGTAGAATTTCTTCTAGGATTCTTTAGGAATACCATCAACACCAATAATTGTATGATATATTCAATGCCATAGGAAATTATGATTACAGTTAAGCTAATACAAGTAATAGGTTTATTGAAACATTAACTTTTATTCATTAACACTATATTAAAGTGAATAATAGTTTCTTCAAGCTAAATTGGATGTAATGTTGTACAATTATCTCCTACATGTATGAAGTAAAAACACGAAAATGAATGATTACACTGACCCAGAATAAATCATTCTAGAAAAGTGTTTAACTGACATGAAATTCGGTAATTCTATAGAAGTCAGATCAAAATAGTAATAAATTTATTCATTTCGTAGAAAAGCAAAATTTTTACATACTACAAGATATCTAATAATACAGTTTTGCAAATACCTTTCACGATGTATAGTACTGAGATCGAACAAATATTATAATTCTATATCTTGAAGATTTATAGATGATACAACAGTAAATAGTATATAAATGTCCTCTTACAAATTAATGTTCAACAATGAAAAACAGCAACTACGGAGAATATGTTAAGAAGTTTTAACATACTGTCAGTCCAAGAATTGTCAATAGAACTATCAAAAACGATAAAATGATTCATGAAATTGAAATGATTCTACGAAATATGATCCATAAAAATCAATATTTATTTCTGGTCATGGTTACATTAATTTTCTAGGTGAAATTACTAATTTGTGTTGATTGTTTTTAACTTAAGCGGTTCAAAATTGAGATACTTTTTATTGTGATTACAAATATATATGTATATATGCTTATTATACGGTGGAAACATACTATATGCCGTTATTTACCTAAATTTTGATTAAGTCCGCAAACCGTAAACTTGGTACATTCTGTGCTAATTGTCGAACATCACATACAACATTATGGAGACGTAATCAACAAGGCGATTCAGTATGCAACGCATGTGGACTTTACTACAAATTACATCATGTAAGTTTAATGTATTATAAATCTCGATGAATTTACGAAATAAACTCAAAGTAAGAAAATCACTTTAGATTGCACCGCTGAGGAGTCCCATGCTGGGACGAAACGGCCGTCCAGTGCTTCCAGGTTTTCCATGGTGGTCGAGTTTCAATTGACTCATGATTTCAACCAGTGAAATTTCTAAAAATCTCCACAAAACCCATTCTGATAAATTTAATAACCTTATTCTAAAATGGCGGACAAAAAACACAATCAAATTAACTGTAACCTTTTTCTTAACTGGTAAACATTACCAAAAGCAACAAAGAATGAATTTAACTAGTTCTAAAGAATAACTTTTGTGAATCTCTACGTTAAGAATTATAGGCTGACATAAATTTTCTGCTTGATAATTGGCTTATTCCTGGAGCTGAGGATTAAACTCCTTACCGAGAAATATCGATCAGCATTTGAAAAGCTGAAAACGGCTGAGAATCCAGGAAATAATTGCTTAATAAAGGTCAAAAGGAGAAGAAGATAGCCAAAACACCATTAACGCCGCTAGTTAGCTAAGTGCAAAAGATTACTACACCGGGTTATATTAACCTAGTTTAGAGAAACCAAAGGATAATCCATACTTTATTAAAGCATCGTTATCATGAAACTATGGTGAACAAATGAATACTTTAAAATTATTACTAAATTCAGTATTCTATTGTTACAAATAACTGTATTCCATACCAGTTATTCTTTAGGAGCATTGAGTGGAACTTCTTTCACGAGTTTCATTAATAACCAAAACTTTTCAGTTATAAAAAAACCCATGTAATTATTAAAATAAATGAGTACAATATTAGAGATATCAGCTTTCATGATTCCATCAAACAATATTTGTTCGAGTCTTAAATATATAAGTCTATCCGTGGTCGTTGATGAAAACTAATGGTTGATATATCGAATTCACGAACTTGATCAGTTTTTCTCAGTTTTTTTTACATGATTAGTCATATGGTAAGAGTGTACATTAGAAAGTCGATTGAAGCTCAAATCATCAGTAAGCACGAAGTATTTTGAGCACAAAATATTTGAGTGAATTTACACATATTTCACTACCTTGTTGCATTAATAAATTATAGAGTTTATTCTATTGTTTAAATATATAAATCTAAAACACATTGATTATTGTACTCATAGTATCTATCATAAATGAATATTTTACTTTTCAATGTTTCTTGTTTTTGAAAAAAATAAAAACAAACGATACCCCCTCCTCCCCCCCCAGATAAATCGACCATTATCTATGAAAAAAGAAGTGATTCAAACAAGAAATCGAAAATTAACTCAAGCTAAAAAACGGAAAGATTTAGAACATTTCACTAAATTATTCACATCCAATAATACAAAATATATTACAAAAGAATTACAAGCAAATAGTACAAATTCAAAAATGACACAATGGTTTAAAATCAATCAAATGGAATCAACAATACCGAAACGAACACTTTCTAATGTATTTCATAAAGAGAATTTACTACTGAATGGTAATAGTAATAATAACAATAATAAACCATCTAATAGACATTTGAACTATCCAATTACAAATTTTTATTCATGTTCAAAATTCTATCAAAAAAATAAATTAGATAAAAATTATTATACTTATTTAACTGATTCTACAAATGAACACATTGAAAATAATCATCAACAATTGAATGCTGCAGCAGTAGCAGCCGCTGCAATTGCAGCCAGTTATATTAATGTTTCAACTCATTCAACAAGTTCAAATTCAATATTATCAAAGAATTCAACAGAATCTACATCATCACCATCTTTAACAACAACTGTTTCATCACCATCATCATTATCACTAAACAGTTCTTATGTATTTAATACGAAAACAACAGACAAAATAATAAGAGAACAAATAAAAATCCCTATAAATTCAGCAGTTTTACAATCATCTAAATCTAATGAAAATGAAATGATCAGTCATAATTCACAATCTAATTTTAATCTTAATATAAATTCGTTTGAAAATAACACTTCATTAATTTCAACTCCATGGAATTCTTTTATATCTAAAAACATCTAAACTAGATCTTTTATTCTTTTCAGAGAAAAAAAGATAAACATTTTAAAATATGAAAATGTAATTTAATCGTTGAACTCATGAGTCGATTGAAGCTAGACCACTACTGAAAACCTGAAAGCACTGAAAAGTCATCTAGTCCTAGTATGGGACACCTCAGAAGTGATACATCTACGATCTCGCACACGGGATTCAAATCCAGGACCTTTGGTCTCGCACGTGAACGCTTAACACGTAGATCAGTTAGCAGACATCCAACGGTGCTAATTTATCACTTCAGTCGATCCATGATAGATCCGTGTCAGACAGTTATCTATCAAAGACAATGGAGGATGGTCATGCAATATCGGGCATTATTTGAAGTTGAAGGATAACGGTCCATTGGTCTAGAGGTTAAGCGTTCGCGCGCGAGACCGGTAGGTGCTGGGCTCGAATCTTGAGAGGTAGGATCGTGGATGTGCATTGCTTGCGAGTCCCATATGAGGATGAAACAGCTGTCCAGTGCTTCCAAGTTTTCCATGCTGGTCTAGCTTCAATTGACTCCTGAGTTCAACTATTAAATTACTATAATATCCACAAAACCTCTCTCTGAATATGAAAATGTCTTGATTAAATGTTGTATATATTATAAAATTCTAAAAATAATATTTGATCATTTTCAAACATACTTCTTAATAACTGTCAGTATATTTTGCTTTACTGTTGAAAAATTGAATTTATTTGATAAATATCATTCATATGTATGAACTTTTTAATTCTTCATTTATTTTGTATGAATACGAATGATTTGATATGTGGTTCAATATTGACCGAAAAAGTAACTTTCAAGTCACCATATCATACAGACAGAACAAATTATAATTACAGTTTTTTTATTTTTACACTTTTGGAATATATCGTAAACTATGCAAGAAATAAGGTAAGTGGAGTTGTTTAATTAGAATCGTATGCAAAAAGAAATGTAGTGGTTCGTGATACATTTCAGTAATAAACTTTAATACTTTCAGAATAGTTTACCTGATAGTATACAAGTAGGTGCACCATGTTAATAAAATTATATGAGCACATCTAATAATGTCTTATACATGTGTCACGATGTTTCTGTAATATGTCCAAGTTTATCTACTGAGTGAACTGAGTAAACATCTACCGTTAGAACAGAACCGCTGAATGAAAAACTCAACAATCTTTCAGAACTGTTCTTCGAAAATGGAATCCTTAGGTTTCTATACAAAAATAATGCACGATTATTGTTAAATGACAAAACCTGTTATTAAATATACTATGATAATAGCTTCTGTATTGATCTTAGCGATCTAGTTTGATAAAAAGAAATATAGATGTAATAAAAATTAAGAGGATCCCACGTAAGACCAGAAAATAACAATCATTCAACAGAAATCAAGTCAAAAATCTTGTGACAAAATAAACAGATCAGCCTAAAATTCCCTAGTTCACCAAAAAACACAAGTCAATCTAACTGAAAGAAGTATCCGACTATATTTGTACTTTAATCAAAACATACAACCACATTCTTTTCTTTAAATAATCGAACGCACGTTGAGAGTCAATATACTTTACTAAGGGTCTGCAGAAAATGACTAATAGGACATTAGGATGTGAAGTACTTGAGTATGTTGATCACCTAACTAACTTGGGAGCTTCATCCCAATTAGTGAATCAGTTGGTGATAAGTTTTGACACGGATATAAAAAAGATTTCTTTGAATTCTCAAATTTGTCCCATATATGGATCAGACTAAATATGCTCCTGAATAATAAAAAGGTGAGTAAACGGAGAATTCTCACGGAAGCTAATCAAGACCTATGAAAGTAGAAGATATGAATAAGCTACAAGTAGTTGATCATATGTTTTCAAAGTAGTGATGACATATGGCGGAACCCCCAAGTAATTAGTGTTGAAGCTAAATGTAGGATATTATTTAAGACAGTGAGTTGGTTAGTGAGGATGTGAACCCTCATTTGTTAGGGTAGTTGGAACGAAATACACATGTCCAGAATCCAATTATCACGATGTGAAACGGTGGCTAAGATTGGAATGATTTAGACAAAAGTTAAGGGCATTTAGGTGATGATAAAACAACGCTAGCCATGAAGCTACGGACTGTGAAGCGGATCAGTGTTAGGTGCTGATCATACATTACGGATCCACAGGATAATCGTAATCAATAACTGAAGGTCATAATTTACATGATTCGAAGCGGATTGATCCCTTATATTGCTCTCAGTCTCGAGTTATGATTCTATTTAATACTTTTTTCTCTTTGATTTCTTTTGTACTTTCTGAACTATGTCTTGTATTTATTGTCTGTACTAAACGTGATACGACTTAAGTATTACTTTTCTCTTACCATGCTGATGTATAATGTGCAGACATGGAGTAACACATATTTATTGTAGGTCCTACTTTGTTTATGAATGACTTTTACAGCTGTTAACACTAAACATTCGATTACAAATGAAGATATATACACGTTGAGGAATTTCAGTATGAAAAATCACCACTGACAACTAATTCTTATTTGGTAACTATGTACTGCTGAAGGATTACTAAAGAAAACGACAGTTTATTATATAAAAAGAAGTTTAAAAACGAAAGTTAGTTACACAAGTGATGTTTTAAAAATATTTTCCGGAAAAAACTAAGCAATATTTTGTAAATATTTAAAATAGTCCTACACAATTATTAGCTGAATGGCAAATACAATATGTGAAATGAATGCGTCAATCGAATACACAAAACATCGCTACTGATATGAAGTAGGAACAAGTCGGTATTTCCACAGACAGTATTTAAATGCAAATAGATTAACAGAAAAGCACTATCGTTTCGCTGTAATAGCATTTTGAATTGCTGACTGTTTAGCCAGTTTTACATTTGGGGAAGGAGCCAACCAAGCCTGTCGACAGATTGATAAAGAGGAAAGAACTCGAGAAGGTTTCGATTCTCTACTCGTAGCATTACGTTTATCACACGAAGATAAACTTCTTCTTCGAACTTTTACAGTGATATCAGAGGATATCTTACTGTGTTGTTTTAGCCAATTTGGAGCATCTTCACCAAATGGGTTAGAAATAGAATCACAGTTCTCATTTTCAACAGAATTATTAAACGGCAGACAATGAACGGGTTCATTTTCAGAACTTCTTTTTATTTCATACTGATGCAATTTTCCAGTCGACAAATTGATTTTAGGAGGCTTCCAAAGAGGTTTATGTTTCTCAAGCTTATCACCAGAATCTAGATAGCATAGACAAAATTCATTCTCCGATTGTAATAGAATTCCGTCTCCAGTCGAAAGCCAGACGAGGGACGAAACTAGAAAATTGAAGTGTGTTGGGGCCTGAATATCCAAAAAGTTATACAAAAAATATATTATTAATAATGTAACAAAGTTGGGTATTTTATGCTGCTTTTTATGGTGTCTTTATTAGTAGAAGGACTGTGGTACAAACTATGTGACTACAATTTACAGTTATTAAACCAAGTATTCAAAAACAATATGTAAATTACTATGGCTTTATTAATATGTAGACAAATCACGATAGAAAGCTGTAGATTCGTTGTGAATATAGATATGGATATCAGCCTAAGACTTGGGTCATCGATTTTTCGATATATATAAAAGAATTGCTTCTGATGTGCACCCTTAAAGCGAAATTCATCCTTAACAAATTAAAACTCTTTCATTCAACTAATCACGCCACTATATCCTTTTATTTTGACTATCTTTTAGATTACTAATCCTATTTTAACCAACTGAGCTTTACTCACTTTACTCTTACTCATTATCAGAGTTTGTTCGTTACGTAACCACTTGTTGTTGTAGAGCGTTCTTTCACATACGATATATACAATATTTTAATTAATCTATTGACTCTTTCAGCCATAAAGGTTGGTGAAGTCGACTTCCTTTTCTGGAAACATTCATAGATGACACGGTACAAACACCAAGGTGAATTAGACGTATTAGTCTTGAACTTTCTCTCACTTCACACATTCATGGTGACGGCAGACCACATATGAATCACATAGTAATGATTTATCATTCCTTCCCAAGTTGGGAGTTACTTTGTACATCCTTCATATGAGCAGTGGTCCAACTTGTTCCTCGTCCTTTGTTCGTTGTCATTCTCTCTTTCACTTGTCAGGACCGCATAGTTATCTCCCTGGTCAGATCACGTCGATTTCCTTTCAGTTTCAGGCTGTTGTTGTGAGTGGCTGGTTTTGAGAATTCTTAGTAACCATTCTATTGATTTTCGTGTTCTTAATGTTTAAATGGGAATTATCTGTTTTTAGCCAGTCATTTTTATAGGACAGATGTATCAGTTTTCTTAGCTTCTGCATCTTCTAAACCGTAATCACTTCTATAATATCAATACATTTCTTTATTTATTGCGAAAAATCGACTACAATTGCAATTTAGGTATTTCATCATCGCTTTTCTAGTATGCCGGATCGTATTCACTGAATCTATTTAATTCTATAATGGTCGGGCTTTTTATCTATTCATTTGGTAGATATTATTTCGGTGTCACAAAACCGATCTGAATTTGTCATACCCACATTTTTTGTGGGTACTTTCGTGACAATTCTCAAACACACTCTTGACCGCTTTGAACAAAACACTATCCTTTCTTATTTTGTCCGTTTACCACACACTCAGTCTATTTGCCTGATTTTGATAGTTTCACAATCTCTCTCAATTCTTCTATAGTCAAATTTTTCTTGTTATTCATTCCTAATATCATACGTTTCATAGTATTTAGCGGCTTTTAACCTCGTTGCATTTTTTTTGACATAAGACTATTATTTCTAGTCCATACATTAAAGTGGATACTACTGCCATTTCAATCAATCTTGCCTTTGTGCTAATGTTGACATTTACCGATAGTAAGATCAGTCTTATTGGTCTTATGTGAATTATTGCAAGTTATCTTGTATGGCCTCTTCAAAGAGACCATTGTTACACGCCTTGGATCCAAGGTATTCAAATAAATTTACGTTCTCGATTACTTTTTCCTCAATTTTAACTGTTTTTCTATCTCCGCTAGCATTTATGATCATCACCTTGATTTTTTCACTTGATATTTTCATCCCGAGTTTGTCAAGAAAATTTTGCATTTTATTTAACAACACAGTTGCACCACTTGCTATCTTGGTGATTATACACAGATCATCCGCATATTCAACAAGCTTAATTATCCATTCACTGTTTTATTTACCTATCACCTTTATGCCAGTATCATCTTGTTTATTGTTTCTCTCAGGATTTCTTGAAAAACAAGGTTAAAGAAAAGTGGACCCTCTTTGCTCCCTTATCTGACACCTCTGTCCATTGTAAAGTGTAAATCCGTTCGAATCAAGTGTCATTTTGGTTTTAGAAGTAATCGTTAAACATTTCCTTTAATATTTGCGGGTACATTTGGTTCATTTATTACTTTACTGATCCATCCCTTCGGCACAGTATCGAATGCTTTTATTAAATTAAATCCAAAGTACAATTTTGGATTTGGTAACTAAAGCACATTGAATTATATGTCGAACAGTTATTATCGCTTATGCTGTGGATGTGAAATTTCGAAAACCAAATTGTATCAAGTAGAGTTTCTCATCAGTCTTTATATTTATACGGTCATATAAAATTTCGTCATATATCTTTCCAATTACATCAAGCAAGAAAATACTTCTATAATTGACCGGATTTTTTCCTTAATAAGCTGATTACATCTGCGTCTACCTGGTGTTGTAATATTGTTTCTGGGTCCATCCAAAATTCATTCATATTTTTAAAGAGTATTTCTTTCAGTCTGCTTTCTTCTTGCTTTGTCATTTCTGTAGTTATTCCATTTCTACCCAGTGTTTCGTTAGTTTCTGTTCTTTTTAGACTTTTTACAACGTCTGACATAGAAAAAGGGGATATCATTTTCACTTATTTTATTTTCAGACTTTATGCCACATTCTACCTTTTCAAACAGCTATTGGTAGTAACTTTTTAGTATCTATATTTACTACCTGCTTCACGTTTCCTCGTACATTGTTTTTATTATTTAGATTGATAGTATTTCCTTTAGTCCTATATATGCTTTGTGATGCTCATGTTGTGAGAAGAGTAGTTCTAGTTCTTCCATTTTGCAGTTTATATATTCATGTTTAACTCTCCTTATCTTTCTATTCACTTCATTTTGTATTCCAGCGCATGCTTTTTGTTCCCTTCGGATGAATCATTTAACTATTTTTTTCCTCACATGTTTTCAGTAGTTGATTTCTTTTCTTAACTGCGCATTGACTTTCTCTTTCTACCCTTCGCTTAAAGGTTTAGATACTCGCCTGGAACGAAAAAACCTTATTGTCTCATCAAAGAACAAACTTTACAGGAATGTGAACTGAAAAGTTGGCTTATGTGATGATATCTTAACATAATACAGTGGCTTTTGCAACTCTCTAAAGATATTTATATTGTCGACATTGAATAGCTTGGACAATAAGAGATACTCGATATAATTGGTATGTTTGCCATTTCCTATAAAGATATGAGTATCCGTTATTTTTCAGATGGATTTGGAGAACTCAATCCCATCACCTGATAAAAGAGAGCACCGATAATGATTGCTCTTGCCCTATTGATATATATAAAGTGGGGAAAATTTGTTTGTAAAACATGTTACTATAAAATAAAACTAACCTGGACTGCAAGACATCCTTGAGGTGTCCACAAAAATACTGCATCTGAACCTGTACACAAAGCAAGTCGAGCAGAACACCTCGGATCCCACATCAGAGAAGATACACAACCACTAGTATGAATTAGAAGACTAAATAGACTTAGACGTCGATCAATTGACCAGATCCAAATTACGCTCGGACAATTATCGTTTCGTGTGGCCAAAAATCGACCATCTGTTGAAAATTCTGTCAAACCAATTCCTACCTACAAATGTTTCAGAATTTTTTCGTATGCATCAGCGTTATAACTTAAAAAAGGGAAATTCTGAAAATAAAAGAATATTTTTCATGCACTAATATGACGATGAAAGCGCGTAAAATGCCTAGTATCATACTGACGAGCAAAAACCACTACCTAAAATTCCGTTTCACATGTTTAGCATCAAATAACCATATAGGATCATCCTTACCTAATATTTCTATAGCCTAACCTTTTTGCTGGTGTTCGTCTATACTCTTAAATATTTTTAGTTAGCTGTTGATAGAAAATAACGATATTTTATCAATTCTGAACTGAAATTGAAAAAAAGGTTATTGAGCCATCCCTATTGGTTAGCTGTCCAATTTTCAGTAAGTCAGCGGATGAGATTGAACTCTTTAGAGGTGTAATAACTTGATTAACACACAGTTGGACGTATGTAAGCACTAAATCAAGAAGAACTTTACTTAGAAATGACAATAACCATAATTGAGTTCTGTTATTATGATATATATGGTACATACGTAAGAAACTGAGAGTTCGAGTTTTAAGATGGCTACTGAATTCAAGAACTGTTGGTGTAAATCACAAGTTGAAGTCCGTAGAATGGCCGTTGAGATTTACTTTGTACTGAATAGATGATACATTACATTTTCTAATGCACCAGGAAAATGATTTCATGATCAATCGATATTTCTCTCGGATATGTTAACCTCAGAACTATCTAAATCGTAGCTGGTACCTTAATGCTGTGATAAATTTTGAATGTTGTAACAAGCTATATTAAATAGAATACATGTTATTTGCTCCGCAAGGGCAATATTTAAAAGTTACGAGGTTGATACAGCATAAATAATCGCTCAGAAAAAGGTCATTGGTGACTAACCTTGAGCTTTTATCGTGCTCCTAGGTTGATAAGGACACCAACATCAATCTCGTTTTATTTTCTTGCTGCTCAGAAAATACACTTTTAGTATCCCGGAGGTTGAAAGATATCATATTTCTACATACCTTTAGAAGCACTCGAGTTTCCAAACAGTTTTATTCATTATTTATTCAACTCTTTTCTATCTCTATAATCCACACTAGTACCAGTTAATCCAGTTTAGGAAACGTTATCCACAGTTCCACGAAATTACACTCCAAACTATACATTAGAGATGATGATGAGTTCTATCGCAAGCTTTCTGGAATCCTTTAGAAAGCCAGACACTCAGACATAACTGTAGTGAGTGGTATTACCAGCTATGTAGGTGGTAGGATAAGACGTCTTAAACCAGGTGACTGAGAAGATGAATGAGATACTAACAAACACCTTAACTACCCTCAGTTGTTCTCTAGTTACTCGCTATCTATTAATAGTATGGATCGAGATCAAAATTAGACTTCTAAGTCTTAGTGAAGATCTGAAGAGAATAAACTTTGAGGACGGTTTTTCAGCATCGTTAGTTAGATTTGCCGAGATGCTAGCTAGAGTTCGGGAGCTATAAGTGATTCGAAAAGATTGTTCGTGGTCACTGATGGAGCACATAAACCTACTGAAACTCCGTTATTCAAACATCATTGCTCTAGTCAAAGCTTAAGGCGGACTGACCTTGTTAAGTAGTAATCGTCAGAGTTCTCGAGTTCTACGGAATTTTCTCACAGGTATACTGCTAGAAATACCAGCTACATTATCTGAATTTTTACGAGTATTACCCTACCGGAGATTCACTTATCGACTTATAATATGCAAGTAACAGTTTTTTTACAATTTAGAAGCGGACAACATGAAGACTTATGAAAACCTTGATCAAAAATCCGATAGTGTTCGGCGTTCATTTCTTTCCTAACAAGTATGAAGTGCTACTTCAAAACTGATCTTTATCAATACATAATCAAAATATAGAGAGCAAAGTAGTTGAGCATTTTAGCCACTTTACTTATATTGGAAAAACAAATACATCTATATGGACTGTGAAGAGAAAACTACAAGAAACTAAGTAAACTAGTGATTTGAAACAAGTTACATAATTACTACTAACCTTAGGAAATGCTTGGTTAGGATCAGGCTTAATTGATTGAATGGTAACAGGATCATTTAGTAGTTTGTACTGGACAGTAGATGAATCTAGGGGACCTTTAAAATTGGTTGATAAATCTGACGAAGCACCTGTTCGAAACTCTTCATAAATATCAATACGGTGTGCCCGATATGTTTCTAAATCCCCATCAACTTCATTATCAACACACAAAGGACGGCCGTTAGGACTAAGTCCGAGAGAAGGATCGATTGGTTTGTTAACAGGATGCTTTAGACAAGCTAAACAAGTCCAATTGAAATCATTTAATAAACGACATTTTTGATCGTAGCTATTAGAAGAAAACAGAAAAGAATGAACAAGTATGAGAATGTTTTAGTTTAGTTGAAACTACATAAATATTGTTAAACCATAACAGTATATACCTTACGTACTAACGACGCTGGTTAAATCACTAGCGAAAAGCTTAGCCCTTTATTACATTTGTATACAAGATAAGGATGAAAGGACATTTACGCATAGGTATACTAGCCTTCATTGATTTGACAATAGTTCAGTGAAATCTACTCATATAAAAATGTGGTATGCGTTCAAATTGGTTCAACTGTTTAAAAATTCCTATCATATTAAAACACAGATAAAGAAACGAAGAAAATTATTTCCAATAAATTTCCTACGAGTTCTACAGTAATAAATCCAAATCAATAGTCCAAACGTTTAAGGCAAACATAGTGCTTGAAATTACAGCATAAGAATTTAGGATTATTTGTAAAATAAAATAAAGTTGTTAATGTCGAAATGACTAGTATGCAATTTTGATTTAGTTGCCAGAGTTTTAAAAGATTTATTTCCCATGAAAGTGTTTTAAGTTTCATTATTTAACTCCATCACGCATATTCAAAATCTCAGCTGTGGAAAAATAATAAGAAAAGCACAAGCACCCAAAAGCACTTTTCACGGAAATCTGTATTAATGTACAACAACTTATGAAATTGAACGTTCCACCAGCATAAATATCGATCCTATATAATAAGTGTTTGGATAAATATTAAGGTTAAAATAAAGCAACTAGTTTTCATGAAAGACTTATTGCTGTTGTATTACACATTATCCAACAGCTTTATATACTACTACATAACCTATTTCCGCTTTTAGAAACAACATATCCCTATTTATGAACATTTTAATGACACAGTCAACTGGTTACTCGATTTCGGACTGTAGCCAGTGACAATAATTGTACAGCTAATCTAAAGAATGTAGCCAAAAAGGGAGTTTTTCTCTCGAATTGGTAAAATTAATAAAAATTCTCGAAGTATACATACCATAAAATCGCAGAATTATGTGTTGCATAAAAATCAAACATCGAAAAGGTGTTACTATACTGGACGACAAACGAAACTCTGCTTAAAATACTACTTATTTGCCATGAATAATGTGTATGAAGTCAAATCAGCTGACGTTACTTATGGTTTGCAGTCTATGAAATAAACTTATGTACCCCAACTGTACTTTACATGAAATTTACGAAAAGGTAGAAAATTCTGTTATAAAAACTAATATATGTAAGCAGTAAAAATATATAAGACCCTGTCGCTTTATTATAAACGCTCTTTAATACACGTAACTAAATATAAAGCGCAAACACCTGAGCATTTTGCCTTATGATAGAAATATAACAATCATCCAAGTAACAAATTATCGACATTTATTAGGTGTACAAACTGGGATAATAGATTAAAACCAAGTAATTAAAAAAATTAATTAACACGACGAATAAAAACACAAACGAACCTCCCCAACGCTAATAATTGCCCTGTGGGGGACCATGATACAGATTTGATACCCAGAAGCTCTTGTGTTGGTTTATAAGCACAATATGTATTGAGATGTTTTCCACCAACACTGTATATAGATGCTTTGTATCGCAAGCAGTTATCGTACACGAGGATATAGCGTCCATCTGGAGACCACACAACTCCCACGGCATCATCAGTTTCTAACGTTATGTTCCAAAGAATAGTCCACTGAAGTCTGCAATCGAAGAGGCTTAAATGATCTTGAAAATTCCGTCGTTCAAGCAAAGTTAAATAACGACCACCAGGACAAAATGCCAAATTATTTGCACATGCCTAAATAAATAAAGTCCAAGCAGAGCTTACAGTAGGTAATCGTTGTAAACAATGACTATTAATACGACACCTCAATCCGTACTAAATATTTAGCGATAACAAACAAAAAAACTCGTTTACAACATATTTTTTGGTGAGCACTGCAGTTCCTCTACATAAAAGCTGTTTTGATGAATCGGCTAGAACACGCTATACTAATAATCGCCAAATGCTTCTGAAACAAGATATGCTTTTTAAATGTTTACATGGCTATCAAGAATATATCACAATTTGATAAGAATTGACTTTCAGGGGAAATTTAAACAAGAAATTCTTCTGGTTCAATTATAAAATCACTAGATCCTCATCTGGTATCAAGAATTAAAAGATATGCATCGCAAAGGCACTTTTGTTCTGAATGTTATGTTTTAACGTGTAGCAAACTAGAAATAAACTACATTAAGTGACTTGCTATGTGGTTGAGAGAAAATTATGCTAGCAATGGAATAGTCCCGATCGAACTCTACAGTTGAGTACTTTTGATGTATACCTATGTTACTGCATGAAGATAAGCAGAAATTATGGTGAGAAATATGTGGAACTTTTTGACCACTGAATGATGAACCAATGCTCATTTAGTAGTCCCATAGTTAACGCTTTTTCACAGTAACTACTGGTTTGTAATTAAAGCAAATGAACCTAAGAATTCGAGCGAAAATTAAGTACAATGACTGGAAATTTTCGAAGATGATAAAATCCGGCATTCTCGAACTGGTCATCAGGTGATAATACCTTACTTGGTAAAGAAAAGCAAACATGATTTACATAAATTATTTATAAGTACCATAAAGATGGCTTCATTACTTATGGATTAAGTAATCAAGTGATCTACATTACGTGGCTCCTGCTAAGCAAGTAACAACTGTAGAGCATCAAGTTCGTATATAGACTTAATGTAACAAGAAGATAGAAATACAATAAACACAATACTTCCGGAAAATCTAGGGGTTTCATTTTCAGATATCACTTTTTTATTATTATACATTAAGAAAAATTGCTCTATTGATACCGCTCTGTCTTAAATCAGAGAAAAATCTAAGGGTTTACAAAATAAAACCAGAACTCACTTTAGGAAACTTTAGATACGAAACGGAGACTTCCGATATTGACCAAACGGTTATCCTCAAATAAAAATCAGTTGTTGTCAAGAAGTGTCTGCTATCAGGCGACCATATAGCATTAAGAAGTCCAGCAGAACCCTCGTCAACTTTGCATGTCCAGTCCGGATTTTCTAGGGAGAATATCTACGTGAACTAACAAAATATTAAAACTTGCTACCTGGACTATGCCACGATGTTTCAGGATAATCAGAATGAACAATGAGTCTGCTGACCACAATATGTTCTGCACTATATCTACACAACTGTATATCTGAAATATTTGTAGCGTGTTTGTTATACGAATAAAAACTTTGTGCTGAGAAGCCGAAGCAATGTAAATACCGTTTGACGACAAAACAGCCAAACTATTCGTAACCTTTACCACATCCGAGAAGTTCATCTCAAAAGTTAAAACTTTCACAAAAAACTTTCCAGTTATGTTTTTTTAAATGATTGTTGCAACAATCATCAATCAGGAATATTCTGAGAGATTACCTTTAAATACAGAGGCGATTATTTCGGTAAATTCAAAGCGCTGATAGATCCTAACCGAGCTCTAAGGCTGACTGTTATTGAACGAGTGTGAAGAAAGAATCTCAAAGAAGAAAGGAGATGGGAAAATGTTAGCCGACAGATCAGATAACTAGTAAGCAATATATATACTTCCATACATACATTTGCACTTATCAATGAAAGCGATCAGTAACAGTCAATAAAATATGAGCATTAAACCGGAGCAATCAGATGATCGACCAAGGAAGACTAGAAATAAATGGAACACGCAATCACAACAATCTACAGTTTCAAACCCGCTACACTCTTAGGACGCCGAACGCGCGCCAAAATATATGATAGCAACCAAGCACTTGTTCCGCAACCTTCGATTTCGCATTGCGGGTGTACGAAAAGAAAGATTTCTTTTACTTTCTCTTTATGTTATTAAGAACAATCAAATATTACAAATATGTTTATTTTTCTATTCCTCCAAAATTTTAGTTGCAGTGTGGAAAGAAGACAATCAAAATTAGGGTACATATAAATTATCTGAAGTCTTACGCGAACACGGACAAAAATGGACTCCAAAAAACCTCAAACTGGGAAAGTCAAGGTGCAATTTTGGCCAGTTTGACAGAAGAACTTTCCACTTAATCTTCAAAGTCTCATTTCACCCCATTTAGACCCTTCAAATATCGTGTTTCCTCCCTCACTCCAAAGAATTTAGAATATTCTGGCACATATCCAACGGTGAGCTACGAACTTAGTTCGAGAACTGAAACTCAAACCTTGTAAACAGCACTTCAAGCCATTGAACCTATACCCATCACAATATAGGCATCTCATTGGTGACCTTTTAATAATCTACGACATTATGAACACTCCTGAACATCCCCTTAAATACCCACATATGCTCACTTCTAACATAAATCTTAAAGGTAACACCTAGACACTGGAGACACATCAAAGCAGAACGGACTGAATGCACACCTCCTATTCATTAAAAGGAGTCATATTCTATAGTTCGCTGCTGGTCGATCTCGTTCGTGTGACTTCCCATGAGTCCTCCAAACAGAAAGCGTGACATATTCTCAAGGACTCAGGAGAGCATTTCAATAAAATTTACCAATGTTTCCATTTTTATAATAAAATATACCCAGATTCTTACCTGGGGTAATAGATGATCTACTGCTACTAGGTATGGAGGCCTGTCAAGTGAAAGCTTCCTCTATTCCACCCAGGACGTTTGACGCTTTAAATTTTGTTTTTGTTCACTTGTTTCTCTAAAAGCCATTATTAAGAAATCTTAAATACTAGATAGCAAATTGTTCAACGCGGAAATATGTCCGAAACTTCAACTGGGCAATAGTTTTTAGTTTTTTAACTCGAACATCTTTTGGAGACAGAACTCGCGAATCAATTTTGCGGCTACTAACTAATCAGTAGGTTACCCTTTTATTCACTATGCTATTAGAAATAGTAAAAGGGATATTGTTTATACTGGATGTAGATGTTCCTCCTCAAATTTCCTTGATTCTTTCAGCTCTTACTAACGTGAATTTTTCGGAATCAATTTCCCTGTTGTCTATAGACTGACTCATTCAAGTTTCTGTTTTGACGAATACATACGGTCTAAAAGAGTCTATGTGTACATGGTTCTGTGATCGCTTTTTTAGCAAGCTTTAGCTTGGATGTTGCAGATTCGAAAATTACCTGAAAATTTACAATATTGTTATCATTTTCGCCGGCATCTAAATTTAGTTTTAACCCTTAAACGGATTGCTGATTTTTTTCATACAGTTTTCTGGCAACATGTTTTAGAGTAAGAATATTCCTATCAGGACTGCAACACTCATATCAAGCAATGTTTACTCTTCAAAGGAAAAGATTTGAGATGACGTTGCCTACGTTGCAATATTGCGATTTTTAACGCCGCAAAAATTCAGCCTACCCTAGGTGTGTCAGCAGAAGTTACTGATATCATGTTTTATGACGGTAATTTATAACAATTCACAGCTCAGGTTGAGATACCATGCTCCAGACGTAGACCTTGTTTCGGTTATTCAATTTTACAGAACCGTCCTCTCAGCAATTGGTTATAAACGAAGAAAATAGTAAGACATTGATGTCTAATTCACTATTCGATACACCGTAGGCCAGTATTTGGTCACCCAACATACGGTAACAAAAGTCAGTGTATCTCGTCTTATCTTCAAATTTATCTAAAATCATTTTGGACTATTTTGTGCCCTCGTCGTTAAACTTAACTACTCATAGATTTCCATGATGATAAAGTGCCATTTCCTTTAGAGGGCTCTCATCTTTCACCTAACAATTCACAATTCAAGCCCTGGTTTACACAAATTTTGAAGCATTCCATAAAAATCAGATCTTCAAGAGTATTTCAGTGTTCTTATGTAGTTCAATTTTCTTTTCCAATGAGTCTATTGATCAAATTAGAAAACGTGCCTTTAAAATATAGTGTTTGCTCCCGTAAGATCATTTCGCTGATATTTAATAGCGTTTTGAACAGTTTTTCTTGGTGATTTCATTCAGGCAGTGCTGCACTAGAGATACCCATGCTACACATTGCCGAATTATATTACTTCACTATTATTCTCTCACCAGATAGACTTTATGATGTCTCAGCCACTGTCAAAATACTCGTTTGAAGTTGATTTTTGATTGTTATTTTTCATTAATTTGAACGATGACGCCAATTTTGTCTTCTTTTCCCAACAGCATACGTTACAGTGGTAGTATTTTATATACCGTTTAATCGTTCAGACGGTCCAATCTATAAGACGAAACTGAAATACATTTCCTCGACGATGGGACTATGATAACTGATTTGTATCTGGTTCATCATAAAAACAGTTTGACATTATCAGACTCATGTAGTGACTTTTATGCCATTAGGTATTAAGTGGACTAATATAACTAATAAAACGGTAAAAGCTACTTATCATTGACAAAATGAATAAGTATGAGTAAGTTATGAACTTAAGCGATGCAAAATTAAGTAGTTTTATACATACTTAACACAATGAAACGCTCTCCTGCAAATACAGTGACACCGGTACAATATTGAACTAGCAGGCTCTGTTCGTCTTGACCCGCCATTATTGAAACTCAAGGTTGCTCTAATAATGCCGAACACCGTTAACATAGAAAGACATAAACTTAACCAAGCGATGTACCAGAAACTGAAGAAATATATTATGAGCAAAAGAAAGCGAGAACAAGAAGGTACCTATAGCTGGAACATTTACAGTTTGGGATTCTTTAGAAAAAGCACAAGACGCAATTGTTAAGCGTTTACGACGTGAAAGGGAAGAATCTAAACGACAAGCCGAAATGGATACAGAGAATTTAGAAAATACTAAAAAAGAGGTACGGTTATTTAAAAGTTTAACACAGGAGTTAAGATTTTGGTAACTCGTAAACGCATAGAAGAACTCACATCTAGAAGAAATGAGCTATTCCAGCGACTAAAACAAATCGCCAGTGAGGAGACAAGTCTTCGTGAAAAACAAAAAAAGTAAGGTGTTTTTAGTCGAGATTATTTCTCCTCAGCGAAACTATGGCTTACTTAGCAGGTATGCCACCTACTCAATTCGGTTTGGAACCAAACAATACTAGCACGCAAAATCGGCTTACGGTGCCCCAAACTACATTACCTACAGGACAACCAATGCAACCACAGGCTGTCCAACATGTCTCTCTGCCAAAACATAACTTGAATGCTAATGGATCTGCATCAATATCTAGTATAAATTCTGAAACCTTGAGTGGTTCTCAGTCTCCTCACAGACCGCATCATCCGTCTTTATTTGGCTTAAATGGGTCTAAATCGACTCATACAACAATTTCAACTCAAACGGGGCTAGGTATGCAGCAAAGTTTGGCATCAATAACAAATAATCCGTCAGCCACTATGGCTGCAGTAGCGGCTGCCGTAGCTGCACAACAAAGGTCAATGCCGTCATCTGATCCGGTCAGCGTTTGTTTATTTTAACTCATAGTTTTATATAACCTGTTGGCTCACTGGCTGCACATTTTCTAAGACTAGGAATGTATGGGTAGATAGTTGAATCATAAGTCATTTGCCTATTTCTCCATAACCATTTCATGTATGTCTAGTCTTACAACCATTTGTGTGTAATAGTGCCCCTCATCTCCCCCCAAACACTTAGTTCAGTCACACTCTGTGCCATGCAAAACTCGCAAATATATGACCCAGAAAGTCACCATAGACTGAATATTTCAAAAAAACTTGATGAGTGCTGAGTGAAGAGATACTAGCCGAAATTTAATTAGGTTATTGCCCCGTCCTTCTAAAAGAAAATGTAATGTAAGTCGATTTTTACCCGAATAAAACTACTCCCTATCTTAGGAAATGGAGAAGAAGTTTATCAACTAGTGGCGTCAGCAGAGTTAAACATCTTTAGGCCAGATGACATTTTCCTTAACCTTGTATTTTATTGTACGATATTTTCTTATTCAAACATATAAACATTGGTACAAGGAGGCACCAAGTAGATATGTGCCACATAAGTCATTCGGTTCGTGTGAGGGGTGAGATACTGCCCGGGCGTCCAAACCGAAACAGGTAGTTTTCTTAGATGGTCACTCCCTGAGCCTTTGACTTGAACGCCTAGTCCACGAGCAACGTAAGGAGATGCAGTTCCAATGGTGGCCGGTGGCGAACAATAAGCTCATACGCTATTTGTCTTCTTAGGACGTTAGAGTCCATGTACACCGCTTGTTTGGGATCAGGGTTTTTCAACTCCCGTAGATGGATCCTCCGTATCCACCAAGCCTGTTAAAGCACTGTACATTCGCGTTTCGTTCTCTGAGATTCCTGTTCCACTTGTACCAAAGCCTTTGCTGATAGAAGTGCTTGCGCAAACGTTCATAAGTGCCTATTACCCGAAAGCTCAGCTCTACTGCTTTTTTGACAGTTAGGATACTTGAATCTTAATAAATGAAAAATTGCACATTTGACTCTTTGAAGTGGAACTGCGATGTCTCGCAAGATACTGAAATAGCACTTATTCACTTATCGATCAATTGCATTCTCGTATCTTCCACAGCAATTGATATTTGTGAGGATTTGGAACGCGTTACTAAAGCAGAAACGTCACTGTGACATAGCGCCATGGTGTAGGATTAGCTGTGTAGGTCTAACAGCTGTCGGTCTTTGACTGCTCGCTAGATGGATTTCTAGATATTGCACAACCCACTGCTTCAAGTTGCTTAACAGACAGGACTCGAAATAAGTGCCACTGACGGTCCTGTGTAGTACTCCACTAGATCTTCATGCAAGTAAGATGAAATTTCAACTAAATTGCATCTATCTTGTCTGTATGTTTCGTTGTTCCGTACCCTATAATAAATAGTACTTTAGTTTATTTATTGCATAATCTCTATTTCCACCATGGTTTTACCACTTTTCTTTCTATGGCTTATTGTTTTTAGTGCCCTGCCATACCAAAAATTATTATTGTATAACTTGTTTGATAAAAGGGAATAGAGTAGTTTATGACATAAACTGCTTTTTCGTGTGAGTACTATTGTCCCTGACGGGTTTGATATTGATAAAGTCCCGTTGCTTCTCAAAAACTTATCTTCTTACTTATCAACCTGCCGTACCCAGAAGACATAATTCTACATAACAAATATACCGACAGAATTGTTGGTCTTGAATTCCTGGAGCGAATATGGATGAATTTTTGAAGTGCATTTGTCGCGATGTTCGGAGACCGTTTTATAACTGATAGGTTTAATTCAAATCCGAGTTAAGAAATCCCATGTGTAGGATTTGATGGGGTTCGTTACTTTAAGATCCTCAAGCCCATTTACAACTCCATTTCGGCATCGAGAATCTCCAAATTCTGTAAACATGTTATGTTTACTGATCAAGCTGAAAAGCTGAATGTCCCCCTAGACTATGCAATAAAACATGAAAGTAATAATAAAATGTAACCATGCCAAATTATTTCAGGATTTAATGAATTATACTTCACTTACCGTACCAGAACATTTTATGGAAGTATTCAAAGTTTAATTGCATTCCCCAATGGTGTTTCTCTACATCTTAAGGATCGTATTGCATTCCAATTATTAACTCCTTGTTTACTCACTTATTTCTCCCTAATATCTTATTTTTATTTATTTCATACTCATTTACTGTAGTCAGATGTATAATTGTATCAGGTTACTTTTGTTTCTCATTCATGAAACCTATTTCCTACCCGAATCAAATACATAGAAATCCAACTCGCCGTATAATAGTATTGTGGTTACGTCAGCAATTTATATATTCCCACATCTGATCCATCATTTTCCAAACTCATCATCTTCTTAGTTGTATGTAATACATCTTGGTTGTCCAGACCACTGGAAAGTATCGGTTTCTTAATCGAAAAAACTATCCCGAAGCAATCTTTCAGTCTACACATATTGATATTCTTTATATTTATGATTATTCTTACCTAATTGTTGAAAATCTGTATTTTTGACTGGGCGTCCATGAAGCTCAATTGTAAACAGCTACTTATTATATTTACAGGGTTTTCCATCCACAGCCGCTGCAGCTGCATATTTCAATGTGATTGCCTCTTTGGCGAATTCATCTTCTCTTACAGGAAATTCCTTAGGAATAGCATATCCCAATTCCTCTGTTAGTCTTGCTGAAGTTGTTGCTGCTCTTGCTGCGTCAGGATTATGTTCCCTCCCAGCACATCTATCATCGAATCCACCGCCAATATCAAGTGGAAATTTGGTCCCGAATTTTACATTCAGCAGTCGTGCATCTCCTTCCTTCCCAGATGGTCATCAAAACCGTGACACTATGACAGCACTTTCATCGGGAAACATGCACTCAAACTTATCTTATCATCAAAACGTAATTCAGTCAGCCAATATGTCCAAGAACCCTGCAGTATCCATTCATCATAATCCTAGTAAGTTGAGTAAGCATTCACTTATGGTCATGAATTTCCTTATGAATGTGACACTGTCTGACTTCACAAAAAGTTATATCCTACACAGTTTAAGCGGAAAGCATGATTAATTTTCAAGCATTTATAATCCAACGTCGTCAGATATGTTTGAGATATTTATTTTGGAACTGAATTTTAAGTGTTTATACATTATGCTTATTTCACTTTGCAAAAGAAAAATGAGTTTTTAAAAAGTGAACTCATTCACCAGGTACTTGTTAATAAGCCACACTAAGTATTGAGGTTAATGGTACCACTCGGTTGCCCAAACCGAATTAGACTGGGGACAAAGTGACCGAGAGTCGAACGTCTTAACCGCAAAGTCACTGCTATACTTATGTACTGTGAATAAAGTCTCCATGATGAAAGACTCCTCCTACTCATCATTTTTTGTCGCTTACTTTCGGTAAATTAATAAATCATCCTGATGTTTTACTACAATATATTAACTGTCGCCGGTGAAAAAATTAACCATTCTGCTTACTTTTCTCACGCTTATTTTAATAGAAAAATCACTCACTCGTTAAATCAATTCAGTCAACTATAATCTGACCGATGAGATTTTATTATTTTGTCAGTTGGCTTTCACTTAAAAGATGAGCGAGCTGAAAATGAGTTTTCTTAAGGAAGAGTAAGATTATAGTTTTGCGAAAATTCCTGTTTAGAAATAACATATTGATCAGCTTTGCTTTGAAATTTGGGCAATTGAAAAAAGTTTGGCACTCATTTGTCGACCTTCCCCAATTCAGTCGAATATAGAATTCTTATTAGTCATTTTTGGCTCAATATTTTCAGTATGTTTGTATCAGTAATTCCTAATGAATGTGTCAGTCCCATGAATTGTAATAATATAAGTTAGTAATAGGAATCACACTAAACTCCATGTAAATCAAACGTATCTACTTCCTGATTCTACTTTGTTTTTGCAGATTTTGATTTTACAAGCTCCACACTAGATACCGCAAAAGTGTGCTTAGCTCAACTAGCAGCAGCTGCTGCCGGCAACAATAATAATAGTGGAAATCACATAAACCAACAAAATGTCTTACCCAGTAATCAACAATTACAGAAAGCTCATCAAATTCTACGTTCACTGAATGCTTCAAATCCTCTAATATCTCCATTACTAAGTGGTAACACTTCAGATTTGGATATTTCTCAAACTACTTCTACTCCTTCATCAACACCTATATCTGGTAGCCCTTTACTACCACCAGCCCCTATCAGTTATAGAGGAAGCATTACTACTGGGCAATCTGCTCAGCAAATCCAACTTCAACAGCAAGCTCATCAAAAGCAACAGCATAACTTGTCGAAGTATATGACACAGGCTGATTACAGTCCAGCACGTGGTCCTTCTGGTGCACAAAATATGGAAAGTTCACATGTGAGTTCATTTACACAGTTTATTTGTTCGAACTTTGTGCTTGTCTTTTAGGTTGGCTATTGTCTTTTCAAGCAACTAATTACTGGAAACTTCGCCCTAAAGCTGCTTGTTCATATCTTCCAGCAGGTTTCATTTCTATTCCTGAGCGATGCCTTTCGAAGAATCATTAAGAAACGAATTCATTTTCATCAAAATTGATACCCTCAAGTCTTGCTACAGATGCTAATTAGTGTTAGTTTAGTAGGTTTGAACATAAAAACCAACTTTTTTAGATTCAATCGTGTATGGTTTTACACCCCATAATATCTTAGACTAATTTTTGCCTGAAATAAACTTTCCCGATTTATCCCAATAATAAATTACGGACAAAAGGAATATAAAATAATGAGATTGTGTTTCGACCCAATATGGTTCAATTCATATCAGCGCAACAATAAGAGAACATGCAAATGATAAAATCAGTGATCTACTTAGTATTAGATGATTAAGGGACAAACTGCTGAATTTTGAAATTTGGACATCGCTACACATATAATTATCATCTCTGTCTTTACCACTTTATGTTTTTCTGCCATACCGCTGACCAATCATTGTGTAATCATTCGTCAGTTTACATTTGACTTTTTTAACAATTTATTAGTTTTAAAAACATTGAAATCCATAAACACTTACAATCATTTTGCTCACTCTGCTATTTATTCAGTAGAATGAAGATAACACCAGATTACCTAGGGCTGGAAATTTTCTGCATGCATCTTTAAGCCTTTGGATAGTCCTTAAATGTACTTTTAACATTTCTATCATTAAATGGTCAACTCAGGTACAGACTTTTCGTATATATGATGGTTTAAATCTTCCCGTTGTTGGTATTGAAGGCTGCATTTACTCACACTGTGCACACCTAGAAGGCAACTCTGAGGCAATGGGAGCCAATGCGAACTGACTCAATGTAGTCCTTAATATTAATAATCAGAATATTCAAACTTCCGAATAAACAGTAGCTTTAGCCTTTTATTTCGAAGTACAGTTACTGGTAGTGTAGACAGACAGTGTAGTATCCAATCCTCCGGAGTTTTCACGGGGTCATTCAGTCAGTCATCATCCTGCAGCCTGACACGTATGTATTGGCACAAGTTGCCATATATTGGAACGACGAGATGGAGTCAACAAGATAAATAGCAAAATATATAAATGACAACGACGTTGAAAAAGATTAAGCATTTAGATTAAGATTCTAAAATACAGATTGGAAAGGCATGTATCAATGAATACTGAAATTCAAGATAGAGAAGAAAATAAAAAATGTACTACAGCACTGTGAATGACTCTCAGCCATCTCATCCGAAGTCTTCAACTGCTGATCGTGATTATTATCCAGACCCCGACCAGGTAGCCTGCATCTGCCGACGTGGCTCAGACCAACAGTCAGTAATTTCACAAACTGGCTCCATATTTTGGTTTGGCTACCCTTAGATTTCTCCCAACCTACTCTTATATTGGAAAACATCTCTTGTCAAAGTAGCCGGTGGTTAGACATGCGTAACAGATGTCCTAACTATCTTTATGCATATTAATAACCTCATCAACTAGTTTTCCATCTTTGCCAAATACCCTATGCTTAAATGCAACATTTCTCACTCGAACGCATTCTTATTTAGTGTCTGATTGTATCAGTATCTCTGTGCATTAGATAAATAATTTGGTACTTCCTTTCAAATAGGCACAAGGTTAAGATCATGGTTTCAAGAAACCACGGATACCATTTCACAAGTCCCAGAAGAAAAGTGATACAAAAACGTTGACATTGGTGGTAGGAAATAACGAAGAAAATCCGTAGTAGAATCGGTGACCCATTAGATGAACTCAAGTGCTATACGAGGTCTAGGTATTTGGTTGACATTTTCCTGTTGTCTCACACTACCATTACTTCATATCCTAAAGACATTTAATTTGATACTCATAACATATATATATATATATATATATATATATATATATATATATATATATATATATATATATATATATAATACTCAGTATACCCACACTTGACTTATCTTTCGGATTTCTCGCCTGTGTGGTTTGAGACTTAATGATCGTTTATTTATGAATCTGAATAACTCTTTATTCAAGTTTCATCCATAGCCTATTATCTTCAGGGCTATGTTGTTTATAAAACTTATTTATATTAGGACTGCACAGATGATCTTTTGAGTATAGATATTCGAAGTACATACATTTAATATCTGCTTCATATGTTTTAATACTTATATATTTTCATGCTTTTTATTCATTTCTAGTTATTGACACCTAATTATACTGCTAATATTTCATCAACCCAAGGAGCAAGGTTCACTAATCAACAACAAATTAATGCAAATAATCTCATTATGCTAAATCTAACGTCTACATCATCTCATAACAACGCACCTACCGTAATTAATACTGGTAAATGTCTTACAGGTAGTCGTCATATAGATAATAATTCTTTAAGAAATTCAGTTAATAACAATACAAGTACATCTATACAGTTCAATTCATCTTCGTCCGGTGTTACATCAATAGCTTCAAACTCAACAATCTCACCATCTATATCGAATACTGGCTCTTCTATTGCTTTGAATCCAGGACTAACTCCATTTCCAACTGATCTAAGCTCATTAAACTATCTAACATCTGCAACTCTAGCCGCTGCTTTTCAACAACAACAACAACAGTTAAATAAACTTGTCATGTCAGCAAATAACATACCTTCTTCACATGGACATTCAAACACTTCTGGACCACCATCTGGTTCATCGAATAATTCTGGGCGTCGATTTTTTTGAATTTATGTTGTAGTTAAATTTGTCAATGTGTACATTGTTATCATTACATTTATTTCCCGATAATTTGATGATTTATATCTAAAAATATACAAACTTTGTATATTATTTTCGTGTGAACAAATTTACCAAAAGAAGTGTTGCCACGGTTCCCGTATTTGGTATCTACAGTTATGGAAGCAGATACTAAATATATTTATATAACCTACTTGTTAGATAGAGAGACCTTCCAGTGCTGTCATTGATTAATATCTCATTCTTATTGTTTCACTCCAAATAATTAAGTTGTGTTTTATATAATGTTAATGTCAGAAGTAAGGACGAATATGGATTCTTCTGTTACGAATATCTATGCTACCTGGTAAACTGAACGACTGGTATAAGATCACGCCTTAATATTTATAAACTGTATACGAATATAATTTTCTAAGGAGTTCTGATGTCTCACGTGAAGATCGTGAGATAAGCAAACATCCCAGTTTGTATATTATTTCGCAAGGCAAAGTAACCAATGGAACTAGGTGTGAAATTCCGTGGCGTTCCTATGTTTCAAGTGTCACAATAATACTAAAGTATAAAGGGTCACAATAGTGAGTGTTACTGTGGTAACCCAGAAAAGTCATAATATTGATCTAGTTTTACACTAGATAAAATTTGCTATTGATTTTTGAGAAAATAGAGTCCACAGTCTATTACGGTATTTTACTTGGTTAACTGCGTTATTTTTACTCAGTTATCAACCGTATTTTCCTAGGCTTTTCAATTATTTCCCCTTAAGACAGTCAGAGACGTTAATATGTCGTTACTAGATATTACAGAGAATGACTATTAGTTTTTTTAGTCAAGCACGGACACGGAGAGTCCACCCAGGGGGGTTGGGGAACCCTGATTCCAAACCAATAGTGTACATGGGCTCCAGTATCCTGATGGAACAAATGGCATATGAACCGATCGTTGGTCACCGGCTACCGTAGGACTGCATCTCCTTACGATGCTCCAATGCCTTGTGGATCAGACCCTTAGGTCAAAGGCTCCGGGTGTGGCCCCCTAAGAAAACCACCTGCTTCGGTCTGAACACCCGGGCAGTATCATAGCCCTCACACAAATTTGATTAGATGGCAAGTATTTCACAAAATACTATACTCGTATAAATAGTCAAGCATCAAAAACCCCATGGTCTAATTCAGCTACTTGTCGGTACTACAACCAGTGTCCACTTGTGACTGTTGAACATTGTTTAAGTTTTTGTTTTCTGTCATATAAAAGAAACGTTTAGTTGCTACAACTAAGGGGGAAGTATCAGAATTATTTGCATGAATGACGTCTTTGTACTAGATAACCCAATTAATTAAGTATTTCATCTTGACAAGGTCTTGCCTATATATAATAAAGACTGATAGTCTCAGGGGAGCATAATTGAACACTATATTTCGAATTGTAAACAGAAATCTTTATCACATTTAAAAATGCACAGTAAGTACGGGGGTTATCACAAAAGTTAGCTAGTGTAGTTCACCCGTACATTGAGTTAGTATCCCAGCGCGACTTAATTGACGATATACTTTTCATGTGATTAGTATCTGTGTCTAAGGACTTATAAGTAATTGTCACTAAAACCTATAGATTTGATAAAGCAACCTGAATAAAGTCTACATAGTTTACACAGTTTCATTATAATTCTGGTAATCAGTTGTTCAAATTCGAGAAGTTATGCTGTCCGTTGATATTTTAAATCACGAAAATCTGCTAGTTCTTTTTGTATATAACATTTTTTTATTTACAATGAAATTAAATCAATGGTAAGTCGGTCATCCAACGTCCAAATCAATCGGATAAAAATATAAGACTAGGAAAGTAGCCTTTTTAATAGTAAATCCCAATCGAATATTAAATCACCAATTATACAAACTGTAACTCAATATATTGATTGTTTTGAGAAAATCTAAAGTGGTAGATATTAAGTCTAATATTTTAAATAATATTGATAACTCATTGTCTCAGCTGATATCTGACTGTTTTTTTATATATTCATTTGATGCTTTCTAAATGTTCAGCTGACTCAGGAAGTACTTTAAACAAATTCACAAATTATTAACTCTGATGACCCTAGTTATCCATTAATCACTGTTTGGTGTTGATTGTGACTAGCCAATTGTTTAGTGTTATTGATATTCATTATTATAATACATCAAGCACTATCTTGATTACTCGTTTGTAACTAAATATAGCTCTCTAGCTTGGAAAATTATGTCGATTTAGTTGTGTGATGTGCCTCGATGATATAATATTAGGTTGTATTACTGCTGACTCAGCGAAAACAACTATTATGATTAGTTTTACCATTTTTTCTCTGAATTGATATTGAACATTGCTTCGCAACAATCAGTTCACCATTGTAAACGAGGGAGAACTACTGAAGGGTCCCATACTAGGGTTCAACAGCTTTTTAGTTGGATTACATTACGATTCGGAATCCTAGAAGCAACCAGGAAATTCCTACCTAGATGATTCAGCCCACTGACAAGGTACAACTTCATCTAGTTGGTATTTCATTATGCATTTGCATTATAACTACCCAGCTTCCTACATTTAAAGCAGAGATGATTTTAAAACGAAGCTCAGTAGTCGAATTTCTAAAATTTCAGCTAATCATCTACTGCTTTGGAGTTTTCGGCATGACCGATAACAAAAAACTTATCACCTGCAAATTCGATGAATTACAGTGAATGACCAAGTAATCTCTATCATAAACTAAAATGTTTTTTCATTAGATATTAATTCAGTTGGTTAAAGAAATTCTAATATGAATTAAAATACAAATTTATAGGTACCTTACCAAGGTTGGACTTGAAAGTTTTAAACAAATTGGGCATTAGGTGATAAGTTGATAATAAAAATGTTTTATTTTATATTCCAATTAGTTGAAATTGTATTTCTGACGTTTCGTGACTTAATGTAATCACTTCAGAGTAAATAAATAGCCAGTTATTTGATCTTCAACTGATTGGGATATAACAAAAAATATATTTATTATTAAAATAAATGAAGTTAGATATTGCATGTTATTTGTATGTATATTTTCTAGAGAAATCGCCACACCTACTCCTGTTACCCCTCGTGGAGGAGCATACGCCAACCACCAGCACTATACAGTCATTCTTGTCCTGGACAGTCCTTCCCAGTTTCTATTCATCCTTTTCATGTCTGCTTCCAATCCTCCACGCAACGTGTCATTTGCCCCTCATCTTTTCCGTTTCCCTTCAGGACTACAAGTTAATGCTTGCCTCGTGAAGCAGTTCCATGATTTCCTTAGTGTATGCCTTATCCACTTCCATCGTCTTTTCCTAATTTCCTCTCCAAGTAAAAGTTGATTTATTCTCTCCCACAGTAGGCTGTTGCTGATGGTATCCATCCAACGGACATCGATTATCTTGCGTAGACAATTGTTTATAAATATTTGTATCTTTCTGATGATGGTTGTAGTAGTTGTCCAAGTTTCAGCTGCATGCAGTAGGACTGTCTTGACGTTCGCATTGGAGATTCTGACTTTGATGTTGACTGAAAGTTGTTTTGAGTCTCAGACATTTTTCAAATGTCTTCACATGTGCGTCAGATCATTCTTGTTTAACGATTATGTTCCCCAGGTACGTAAGACATTCCACCTTTTCCAGAGTTTCTCCATCAAGTGTGGTTGGGTTGGTGCTCTCTGTATTGCATTTCAGGATCGTTCTTTTTCCGTGTGTATTTCGAGGCCTACTGCTGTCAAGATTGCTGCTACACAAACTGACTGTCATCGCCTGCATTTGCTGGTGTGTATGCGATAGAAGAGCTAGGTTATCTGTAAAGTCCAAATCACCTAGCCGTATCCATTCTGCCCATTGTATTCTGTTCTTCCTCTGAGATGTGAAAGCCTTCATGATCTAGTCTTCACAAACCAGAGAAACAAAAAGGGAGTTAGTAAACAGCTTTGTCTAACACCGATCTTTAGTTGGATTGCATTTGTCAGCTGTCCTCCATGCACGAATTTGCAGTGTAGTCCGTCGTATGGATTCCAGATTATGTTGACGGTCTTATCAGGTAAATCATGCACGACTTTGCTGTTGTTGATTGCCGTCTTCTTGTTTTTCCTTTTTTAAACCTTGTCCAGGGTATCGATAGAGTTTCACTTTTTATGATGGTGCTTCTTGCGGCCTGTCACCTTGTGGCACGTTGAAGTTGGCGTGTTTTAATCCCTTCCTAGTTCTCCATCGTAGTTTCCCCCTCTTTGAGTAGATCTCGTAAGACTGGGAACCCGCTGATGAGGCCTATCTTGAATTCGTCAGAATCTCGAAGGAAGGTTGTATTAAAGTTTTGTAGTGCTGTTTCTCCAGTTGTCCAGTGCTTCTTCAGATGTAGTTTCACCTTGGCCACAATCAACTGATGATCTGAAGTTATGTCAATTCCTCCCGATGTTCTCACGTCTTCCATAGATCTGAATCTTTTATTGATACGAATATGATCTATCTGGTTCTCTGTAGAGTGATTCAGTGAAACTCATGTAGTATCGTGTATGGGTTTGTGGGGGAATATGGCGACACCTATGGACATTTTGTTGAATGGCCGCAAATTCGCAAATCCTTCACCATTCTCGCTCGTTCCTCTCAGTCAGTCCATGTCGTCGCGTGATATTTTGATAACCAGTGATGTCCATCCGGACTTTGGCATCTAGGTCTCCCATGATGTTGACGGTCAAGTCATTTCCGGTCACCTCTCTACAATCGACTGCCACCTCTCATAAAACTGGTTATCGTGTTCATTGCTACCATCTGTGGGTGCATGACAGGGGATGACATTGATTGTAATTCCCTCTTTCTTTGTTTAGAATGATGGTTTGATTACTCTAAATGAGTATTTTTGAACTAGGACGGCAGAGATTAAAGTACTTTTTCTGGTTAGCGTATTTTTGGATAAATGTTATTGTAGTATTAAATGGTGAAAAAGTATCGTCGCCGAATATTTATGATGCTTACGGCAAGCTGTTGCTTCTAATAATTTCTGCTGAGAATCGGGTTAGAACTATTGATCCCTTACATGCTAATAATGATGACAATGACCAAGTTGAATAATAA